GGAGTTATGATTTTAGTCATTTTTTAATTATAGGAAAGAAGTAAATGAAAAATCTTGGAATTTTAAATGGTAATAGAAAGTTTTATGTTCCCTATTGTGTTCAGATTCAGAAAGGGAAGGTTGAAGTATGCGGATCTTACTGTGCAATTATTTTCTCCTGGGACACATGTCCTATCGATACTTTTACCATGTGACATCTCAGTTTGTGAATGCAAAATACTTGGTGCCCACAATAAATATCAGCATCCCTAACAGCAAACTGAGTAGTTATTTAACATAGTACCACAGGGGGTTTTGTGTACATTTGTGTGTATGTTGAGAGGCAAAATTGACTTTTTTTTCTGTTTGTCTAATCCTTAGCCTGAGAGACTATATTCAAAACATAATGAAATCACAAAAACAAAGTTATCTGTAGCAACTTTTAATGTGGCTCTAAGAAAAATGGCATTTCTTTCCTTAATGTTAATATAAAAAATTGGGTACTAGCCTACTGCAATTCCTTCACAGAAGACATATATAAGTTTATTCATTTGAGGTCAAGAGATGCTTAGTAATATTAAATACTCAGCCTCACATTTCTATAATTTTAAGCTTTTCTATTGTTATGGTACATACTAATAGTTGACTTATTTTTAATAATAATGAAAAAAGAATACTCTTCTCACATACACTGTCTAGCTAATTTCTCTTTTCTAAACCTTCTAAGTACTTCTGAACTTGTGACTTGGTATGTGTTACAGGTTTATATGGGAAAGTGGTTCCTTAGGATAATACACTTTTCATACATGAATTGGAATATTAATTTTAATACGTCTACTCTATAAAATGCTCCAAAGTGGAGGAAATGCAATTTGTCCTACTGAGAATTCTACTCATTGTGAAGCAGATCTAGACTTGGGCCAAGTATCTGTGAGGTCAGTGATTTTGTTAAATACCAAGAGATGTGGTATTAGACTTCCCTTTCTTAGTACTTCCTCCCCCCTGCTGTGGTATTCTGTGAGGCAGGGAGCTGCCTATTGCAAAGGAACTGTGATGGGCCTGCTTTCAAAAGCTTAGCTCTTGTTGCCATGGGTGCCTGCAACTGGGCATTGCCAAGTCCAACTGGGCATCATATTCTCCAGAGCTCACCCAGTGATGCAAGTTTCATTCTAGCTATTTTCTATTGAAGCATCTTTTTTTTTTCTTTTTCCTCCCTCTTTTTTTTTTTTTTCTGACAGGATATTTGTCTTATTTTAGACACAGTCCTACAAACATCTTTTTAGCAAGCAAATTTATATGGGAATTATCTCTATTAAATGGTAAAAGTATAGAAGACTACAGTATTTAAATTTGCTTTCAAATATAGGGGTCAAGTATATGAATTCTTATAAGGGCCAGCAGAAGTCTTCAGATAAGATCCACTGCCTTGTTCAATGGAGGCACTTCTGATTCTAAATATCGTGAATCTCTTTAAAAGGAGTATTCTCATCTAATAGCTGCTTAGTCAGTAAATCTGTATTAACCAAATTATGATTCACTCTTAACTACTTTTAGTAGGTTTGTTTATTGCATAGTAAAATCAATAGTATAGTAACTAGTGTAGTATGGTTAAAATATAGTAAAGTTGATAGTATTTTGATAATAAAGTATATATTTATTATAGTGTGTATCTATACTATAGTCAATTTATATAATAAAGTTGATAGTGTTGATAGAATTAATAGTAAAGTCAAAAGAAAAACAATTCTTCTTTCACCTAAATTTTATGTTTCATTACAATATCATCTGAAATGTATATTTTAAAACAACCTTTCACAATCTCTCAGCCAGAAGAAGTCTTTCACTATTCTTTTGGGTTGTCAAGGGTACTGGAGTAGAGAAGAGGAGGAAGCCAGAGTATTGATTAAAGTATAAATAGTATTGTGAGTGTAGAAAAAAAAAGATTCAGGAGAAATAAAAAGATCGATATACCTGACATTGTCCTGTCACCTAAAAATGGCAGAATTTACGTCAAAGTACAATAAACCAATAATTTCTGGGAATTGTCATTGGCCATCTAATGGATAGGTCAATCGTTTTAATTCTCAGGTACATGGCCAGGTAATGCTCATCTGAAATAGTCTATCTGAACTCTAAAGAGCTCTGTATATCATTCTCCACCATAAAGATGTGTGATAGTCATCACTGTTGTGATATTTTTTCAGTCTAGTCACAAATATGCTGTAATGAACCTGACTGAATTTGTTTTAAAGTCTACAGTTAAGACCCAAGTCCTGATTTTCCATCCTGATTGAGTATCACATGCTTCCTTTTTCTGTGACATTTATTTTTAAGCATTTTGAACAGAAAGCAGGGATTGAAAACTTAAAACTCCCTAGACCAAAGGAACATTGCTAGTCATTTGTTGGCATTTTCTGGTTAAGCTTACATAGAAGAAACAATTACTAGTTTTTCTTAAAGCCTTATGTTGCCTAATGAATCAAAACAGCAGTCTGTGAAAAAGCCATCATTAATGACACTGAGATATACATGTCTGACCATATCCATAGCAATTAACCTAAAGACCTGGTTAAGAAAAGATAGATCCTACAGGAGAAAAGACCTAAGTCTCTACTGAACTGAATAAGACAGAAGGCTTCAAAGACACTTGATACAGCTATGCCCTCTGGAACTTGTTCTGATGAATACAATTAATTTGAACTTGCTTCTACAAACTAAATAATGTATGCAGATGCCTGTTAGTTCATCTCTATATTAGTTTGTCTCTTTGAAACAAAACAATCCTAGTGGAATAAGAATGAGATTTAAATCTAGCAAGCCTTCTGCTTAGATGGCTGAGGATGGGGGAGTGGGGAGGTAGGGGGCAAGGTGAACGCTGGTTAGCCTTCAGTGTCCTTCTAATGTTCTCAAAAATAGGGCAAAATAACTGTAGTATTGGCATGCAGGGGCCAGCTTGCTCAGGAAACTGTGGCATATATAAAACAAAGTGCATAAACAAACTCTCCATCCAGGAAGCCGAGTTTAACAATTGCCTCATTAACAAGATCCAGGCAAGGACAGGAAAAGAGGGGGAAGCCAATGACTGATTATTAAACAGTTCTAGACAGATGAAGCCCTTCAGCATCTTCCCAAACAATCCCTGTAGTGTGGATTTGACAAAGTGGCACATTTAAGAGGGAACTCTCTTGCCATCAATGGCAGTCAGACGCTCCGGTATCTTAGGGCCAATTTTAGTCCCTGGAGCTTGACTTTATCAGTACACACAAGACAGAGGACAAGGCAGCTACATCCACAGAGAATTAATTAAGAGCAAAAGAGACATCCAGTGAATGTAATCAATATTCTGAACACTGATCTACATATCAACCACTGTCTCTTTCACCCTTTCTATTTTTAAAAAAATATTTATGTTAAGGTGCTCTTGTGACTACTATTACAACAGAAATTTATTAGCTTATTTGACCTCATTGAAATTACATATTTTTCATAGTGCATCATACAAAATATATCATCAAAGGCCAACTACCCTGATGCCATTTTAGGTTTCTGAATGATTGAAACCTTTTTGGGTAGAATTCTATTATGGATAATTTATTAGTTTGGCTTTCTCCCTGCACATTTTTCCAGTTTTGTATGGGATGTATGTTCAAATAAACCAGACTTCAGAATTGCCAAAGTTCACACCCAAATTTGTCTTTACTAACTTTTATAGATATTCTTTTGAAAACCATTCCTTTCATAATATACCCTAAAACCCCTATTAGTGATTACAGTGTTGCTTGCAAACACACAATATTGGATTAATGCAACCCTTTTCAGTACTGGTATTTGTTTCTTATATCTCTCAACCCTTCCCCCACCCAATGCACATTTTAAAAGTATTCTGTAGTTCCCCTTTTGAAATCAATGAAAACAATCATATGATGTTTATATTGCTTTCATTTGTGCTGGGCAATAGTATAAGTCTTATTACCTTCATTTTTGAATGGCTTACCAGAGACATCATTTTTCAAGACCAGGTTCTTGGTTAAGTCCTTTAGCAAACATTCTGATTTCCTCTTGAATCTGTGCTTTGTGTGCATCTCTCCTAAGCAGCACTGAGACCAGAGTAATCTGTCAGTCATCACTTGTGATGGGCTCTAGCCCCATCAATTCAACAGCAGCCTTTATTGCTTAAGGAAAATAGGAAATTCTGCCTCCTGGACATAAACATGTGAATTTTCTATGTCCAGGACCAAGAGGATAAAAAGGGCAGATTTAACCAATATTTCCATAAGAATGAAAGTCTCACTTTTACCCCACATGTGTAACACTTGACTCATGAAGCACATTTAAGGGGCTTCTCTATAAATATTTTTTGTATTGTCATTGGATCTAATTTTACAGATCTTACTTACACCACACTCCCTTTAAAATAGGTGGGAGTGTGACTTGAGTAAGCACCATAAAACCAGAGCCTGTTTTTCCCTGATCTTGGTTGCTTTTATAAATAGATGTGGTTTTAAACTTAGCACCAACGTACTCTCAAGATAATATAAAATAGAATGACACCATAATAAATGAAACATCAAAATGGAAAAAAAAAATATGGTTGGCTGGCAAGAAGCCAATTTCTTCTTAGTCAGAAACTAGAGGCCAGGCAATGTGTTTGAAAAAAAAATAATGATAAAATGTAGAGTTATTACTGACACAATGACAGTGTAGATTTGGGTGGCCAAAAAAATGTTGATGAGATTTAGAAGTATTATGTTACCCCTGTTTTAGGCCCACTGGAAACAGCTAGTGTTCAACCAGTTTGGTTTTTATATGGCCTTCAAAGGTTTATATCAACTAGATTATTCTAAAATTAAGAAAAAAAAATTTACCTGATTGTTGACCAAAAAATATGAAATGGAGAAAAAGAAAATAAAACAAACAAACATACCATGTTTACACACAAAACAAAATAATTCTTTCAGGGACATCAGGGAAGGTGGAATACTATAACAACACATGTTATATTGTTATACTATTCCACCCACCTTAATGAGGAACCCTTGGGCGTTGCTACTCCATAGCCTTTCGAATCCAGATTTCCTCCCACTTTCATCGTGTCACATGGCTTTCGCTGCTCAATGTATTCATTCATAGTGGACTCCAGGAGAAAGGCAAATTTGCCCTTGGATTTGCGGACACGAGCCACTCCCTCAGCTGTAGTCCTAGTGAACACTGATGGCTCTGCTGATCGCATGTAGGTCCACATCTTTTCATACACTGCTATTTTTGATCTCTGGAGGAAATTAAAATAAAATTAAATACAGGAAAGAAGGGAACAACATGTTAAAATTGATCCAAGGAAAAAGAATGATAAAGCCCTTTAGTATCTTCCCATTGCCCTCTAATTTGCTATACCAGTAACATAATAGTAAGGTTATTCTTTCACTATTGGAAAAATATCCTTTGAAACTATTTAATGAAATCACTGAAATGACAAACATTCAAAAGTGATATTTTAAGAGGCCTGTACCTCCTGCCATAATAAAAAATTACTATACTCAATTATGTTTAAATACCAACTTATTATTCGTCTTAAACATACAAGGCCATGAACAGCAATGAACATTTAAAATCATGTTTTATATCACAGTCATGATAAACTCGAAAAGGACCAGACTGATCTAGTCCTTTTATCTTGATGGAACTCCTTTTAATATTATATCTGAATTAAAACCAATAAGGAGAGTTATTTTATTTTTATCTTTCTTCATACCTCAAAGTAAGACACACATAAATGTATGGGTCATATCAAGTCAGTAATTGAACATCAAAGAAAGAAGAGAAATCTGCTATAGTATAAAAAGCAAATATTCACAACATACGAATCAAATTCTAGTTTAGTCAAAACATTTTTTTTAGACATTGTCTGACAAAATCTCCAGATACAATATACATCAAACTTTAAGGAGAAGTGATTCCTGTTTTCCTACTTTGTGTTTTGATGAGTCACTCTCATATCCTGACTCCAGCCAAGAAACATTTATTTCTAAAAATTACTTCTGTCTACCTGAGCTCCGGCTACTCAATTTACCCAGGTCCTTTTATTAGCATCTGCATTGACATTATATTTTTTTTCATTCACACCTACATTTTTAATGTGAAATTATACCCAAATGAACTCAAATGTCTTTCAAACATACATTTAGTAAGATAGAAAGGTCTAACTCCATTTGATGTTTGATAATAGGATAATGCACATAAACTTTTATGATTACATTTTTTTCAATAACAAGTGCAAAAATTTTGTATCTGGATCTAAATAAAAAAGTAATTGAGACTTCATTTAGATTTCATGTGTGTGGCATAATTCTAAATAATAAACACATTTATTTATATTAATTTTCCTTTGTTTACCAAATATAGAATCCGATAAGAAGCAGTTCTTCTTGTCCTTAATACCAAATTTAGGGATACATGTATTTGGGCAAAAGCAAATTATTCAGGTGGACAAAAAAAAAAAACAAAAAAAAAACAAAAAAAAAAACAACTGATAAAAGTGGGATTCAGAGTTTTGACTTTCTAAGATGGGAAACTAGTAATCAATAAACCTAAATAATAAGCCAAACAAGGATTGATTCAAATGTTTGAACCAAAGCAAAATATATTCAAACACTGATAAATGTCAAATGGAAAATAGACATGCTGTGTTGTTCTGTGAAGTAGTTTTATACTACAAACACTTGAAAATATCCCATAATATGATTGTGGGGTCTGTGTGTGTGTATGTGTGTATGTGTGTGTGTGTGTGTGTGTGTGTGTGTGTGTGTGTATGTTTAGGTGTTTGACAGGTTAATTCTGGTGGGAAATTCTCATGTTAGAAAATTCTATGTCAACATGTCAATTCAGTTGTAAATATTCTATGTGTATTCCAGATAGAGGAGTTCTATCTGGAATACACATAGAATCCATAGGATCCATTAACCCACATTGGTAGGCCTCATTCAGCCCTTCTTTAAAACTAGAGTTCTGCTCCAGAGAATGATCTCTTTCATTTTGTAATTAATTCTGAAAAATATAAACTCCATGGATCACATAATAGAGATTGTCCTCATATATTTACTCTGATGATTCCAAAATCAGACAAATGTTGGTAAACAACATCCTTTAGACATATGATCACTTTTTTAATATAACTTCAGAGTTTCACCTCAAAAGGTATAGATCTCCACATATACTGTAAACCCTACTATGTATAATACATTAAAAACAGAAGAAATAAAATCACTGAATTGTTTAAATTGAAATATTTTTTGAACATTTTAATAAATCAGAAACCTGCCATTTATTTGGCAGTGTTCCAGTTACAGTTAAGTAGCATATTAAAGGAACAAGATAGTTAAATTAAACTAGCATAGCAAAATGGAAAAAAATATTCTTAGGGCTTAGGACTTTTAGTTCACTGATAATTTTTGATAGTCCATTCTTATAATGCCAATGTGAATAAAATTACTGCTGCTTTTGTTTAAGTACATTGAATTATGTATACTTTAATGAGAAAGAATTGAACTCAACCTTTTTTTTTCTTTGTGGTACTGGGGATTGAACCCAGTGGTGTTTTACCATTGAACCACATCCCCTAGTCCTTTATATATTTCAAATTTTGAGACAGTGTCTTGCCAAGTTTCCCAGGCTGGCTTCAAACTTCAGATCCTACTGCCTCAGCCTCCGGAGTTGCTAACATCACAGGCATGCAATAACATGCCTGGCTTGATTCAATCTCTTTAAAATCAAGAAAAGGAAGAATCTGTAGAACAGTTGTGCTAAATTTGGGAGGTCTCAGGTACAATAGAAACTGTAAAATACAGACTGTCAGTGAAAAAAATTAGGAAGATGCAAGCAACTTTCTTTGGGTGGGAGGAACAGCCCATTTGTCACCATGTTAATATTCAGGAATTCTGATTCTGATTTAAAGGGACATGATGCAGATAAGACCAGGTACATGGTAAAAGAATGAGGGGAAATCAAGAGGCAAAGGACTGGAAATGGCATGCATCACTGCTTTTTTTTTGTGACTGAAAGTTAATGTTTGTTGCAGGGTTAAAGCAAGAAAACATTTATAAATTTGATGAGAAAGGCTAAGATGAGGAAATTTTTGCAGACTCAGTAAGCTCATAAATACAATGAAAATGGAACTTTTAATTTACTTAAATTTTACACTGTAGTGTGTACTTTAAGGTCAGGCATGGGGAGTAAATATGCTGTAGGTAATAAGCAAAGATAATATGAGAGTTATTATTTTTTTGTAATTAGGAAATTAAGCTTGGGTCTATTTGTTTCATCACTATTGTAAAAAATACTTGGGAAGCTATCTGATTTAAAGCATTATTTTATTGTTTAAAACAATTCTTGGAGTTTAAAAAATGTGCTATCCTTTTAATTTCTCAAAAATTAAGTATTCTTTGCTAGGTATATTTGTAATCTCAGTGGCTTGGGAGACTGAGGCAGAAGGATTGAAAGTTCAAAGCCAGTCTCAGCAACTTATCAAGGCTCTAAGCAACTGAGAGAGACACTGTCTCAAAATAAAAAATAAAAAGTGCTGGGGATATGGCTCAGGGATTGAGAGCCCCTGGTTTAAATCCCTGGTACAAAAATAGATAAATAAAAATATTTTTCCATACCTTATTTTAATAGGAAGTATGTATAAATATAACGCATTACAGTTAATGGTCACATTTCTATCAGGTGGATTGCTTTCCCCTTCTTGTAGCTTATGCAGCAAGACTGGTGTTCTAGTAACTCACCAGTAAGTAATTTGATAACATTACAAACCTTGAGATAGTAATCTACCCCACTTATGCATTCATGATTGCAGAAGACAATATCTGAATTGAAATGAAAACCAGTATGCTTGAATCAGGTGTGTAATACGCAAGCATCTAAACAGCAAAATTGCCAGTACAGAATTTCTTCTAATGCCTCTGTGTTTGTGCTTAAAAAGGTGCAGAGAACATGAAACATATTAAGTGTCATAATGGGGCACAACCAAGATAAGATAACATATTAATTCAATGTCATCTTGACATGGCCTAATTCTTTTTTCAGTTGATTATAACTGCAACTTCTTTTGAAGTGCTGAGTATAGGTCACTGCCCGAGGCAGCTTAGCGGGACTGATAGATATGCCATTATTGGGTTCCTAGGTGAAGATATTTTTGACAGGTACAAAAATAGTCTTCACATTCCATTTCTTCCACCCATCAGACAAATCATTTATTGAAACCAGGTCATTGCAAAAAAGAAAGGAAGGAGGCAAACAAGGTAGGAAATGAATGATAATTTTATAAGAAAACTCCAATTTATGCATTCTTGAAAGTGTGCTACCCAGGGAAAATATTTTTTTTGTTTCATTGGGATTCAGAGTGCTCTACGGCAATAAATACCTATGCTTATAAGTTTTTTCCCCAATTTTAAAACTGAAGTTGTGGAGAGAGAAGGGAAACAAGGCATAGTTCTTGCCCAGCTTGCATGGAAAGACTCTGAACTTGGAGACATGTTCTGTAGCCCCACACTTCTGATCAATATATTCTCTTGTCCACCTCTCCACTCTTGAGAATTTGAGCAATGCTTTTAAATTGTATAAAGGTTATAAATACATATTTTAACTGGGCTTGTTGTTAAAGAGCTTTATAATGCGTTATTTGTGAGAAATTTTCAGGAAATCAATGTGACTATTATTTTTACATTATTACTCAAGGCAGAATGATGAGCCCACAAATATTTTCTTTATTTAAATGACAATCAGCCATCACTTTTCAGTAAGATGCAAGTGATAGCAAAATCTTGCATTCTATTTTGATATATACACAGAATTGGTTCTAGGCAAAGCCAGTAAATTTTACCCACTTACTTTTCTGTAGAAGCAGTTTTAAACTAACACACTTTCAGCAAGATACTAAAATTATGTTAAATGCATTGAGGTAGCATATTTCTATTAAGCTTTAGTAGTGGGACATGATTACTAAGTTAAAAGAAAGGTTTGGTCAAATAATCTAATCCATAGGCTATTGTTAGTAAAACCTACCATCATGACAATTACTTGAGTTTTAGAAAAATCTACAAATACTTTTCCACTAATTTTTAAGTTATATCTATTAACAATGCTTTAAATCATTGAAAATCATGTTGTTCATTGGTTTCTTTAAAAAGATGCCCAAAGATGTGTTTGACTGAGTTTTTGAGTGATTTGTTCCTGATTTAATTTTATGTAAACATTTGTAGTATATTAGGATATCATTATCAAATCTTTTTTGAAAAGGCACCTAACTGAAATTCAAGTACATGAAACTTAAAACTGTCTTAAAGAATAATTCATTTCATTTTAATTTTACAAGCTGAGTGAGAATATTTTAAACATTAATATATGAAATGAAATGTAATATGTCAAATGTTGTATATAAGCATGAATAATGAGCTATCATTAAAACTTAAAAATAATGAAATATGTCTTCCAAACTATTAAATATTATTAAAATTCTAGTCTTTGAACAATTGATATTAAATACAAAATGTGTTCTATATTACCTAGTTCAATATTTGTGAAAATTTCAGTCTGACTAATTTTTTTTTGTTCTGAAGTCACAAAAATACTCTTCTTAGTGATCAGACATTATCAAGTATATCTCTGGATTTAAGTGGAACCAGAATAAAAAGAGGATACACTGATCAAAAAATTGAACCACATAATGGACCAAGTATCTACAAACAGCAACAACAATAAAACTTGGTTATACTGATAGAAAACTCAAGGAATAATATCCATACATGTAAAACAATTGTATAAGTTTGAAAAATGTTATCTGCAAATAGAGAAGTCTGCACAAACTAAACATTATACAATGTCTTACAGAAGGACCTTGAACTTAATAAGATCTTGCTATTAATATTTTGTGAGAAAACATACATTACTTTGAAACCCATTGTTACAGAATATATTACAGAATAATGAAACTCATAAAAGTTGTATAATCTGCAAATAAGGTTTTCAGGTTCAAATTCAGCAAGTTAAATGTTTCCTTTGAAAGTAAAGCTTGCTTTCATTTTTAGGCTCTTAATGCAAAAATATACAGAAATCCAATCTTTTCCAATCCAACACATCATCACAGCATTACCAACATTGGAAAGTTTTGAATAAATTATTCTATAAAGTTGCTTTAGTTACCTTTTCACTGATATGTCTTAGGGTTCCTCTTGCAATGTGAAAAAATCAATTTGGTTTTGCAAATTAAATTAATTAAAAATTCAAGAAGTATTAACATTAAACACAGTTGTTACCATTGGGTGTGCAGACTTTATAATAACCAAATCAATAATATAATTATTAAGGGAATGCCTGAATTTCAAAATGAGGAACATGTGATTTGTCATTGTTGGTTTTTATTTTTATTTTTTTTCTTAACTTACTCTGAAGAATTCTTTTGTTGACCCTGAATCCAGAGTTCCATAGGCAATTTCTGTTTGTTTGGCCAGGTCTTCTGCACTTTCTATTGGGGAGACCATTCGCTCAACAGTCAGAAAAGCAGCCAGGTTAGCAGTATAAGATGATATAATGATGAGTGTAAAGAACCACCAAACACCTCCAACGATTCGACCTGAGAGGGATCTAAACATGGATAAGGTAATTCATGTTTTTCTTTCTCCAACCAACACAGAAGATACACCCTCAAGTCACTGAGCATATTTACAAATAACAATTGCAAGTATCATTTTATTTTCTGATAGTCTATTCAAGAATGATTTTAGTGTTTCTGTATAATCTTATATTTTGTATCTTAACATACAAGTGCTACTGGAAATATGGAAAAAATTTCCTATTTGTCATTTCATTGACAGAAAAGTAGAATTAACGGAGTTCCTTTAAATAAAGAAGAGAAATACATGCATAAACCCACTAATACTCTATGTCCCTTAAATTTTATCACCTCTGAAATTAGGCTAAGGTTGATGAGATAAAATATAGTATCATAGTTAATTTGGTAATGTTGTTACTCTCTTAATGGTACATAAAACGGCAATACATCTGGACAATGATGGGATCTTAGATTTGATAAAGTCATAGATACAGACCTTGTGTTTACCTTCCATCAGAGCCTGGCAAGGACGGATGGAACACAGGCTAAGATGAGGCTAGACCAGAGGGGAGCCTAGAATTGGTCTCAAATTGATGATCATAGTTGAGGATAGCTTTTCATTTGGCATTCCAATTCTGAGCCAAGTGGAGGATAAGCCATGTCCTAAAATATCTTTCCATACTGGAATGAACATTTTCTCCTTTCACCTTTTCTCTGGTTATTAAGGATGTATAGACGAGTGTGAATGCAGAGGAAAAGTTAAAATGGGATGAACCAGAAATTCAGGGAATTTACACAATTGATTTCACTCATGGGGATCATTAAACTATTTAAAATTCTTGTGGAAAACAGTTTTTAAACATGTTTCATGTTAAACATGAAATGTGAAGTACCGTTTCATATTTTCCATGGAATTGGTAACTTTAAAGTGCTCCCTTATTACTCATGATTATGAAAATGTTGCTGGCACCAACTGTGCATGACTGTCATCCCAGCAACTGGGAGGCTGAGGCATGAGGATTGTAAGTTTGAAGCCATCCTAGGTGACTTAGAGAGACCCTGTCTCAAAATTAAAAATAAAAGGGACTGGGGATGTAACTCAATAGTAAAACACCCTTGGGTTGACTTCACTATGTGCGTGTGTCTGTGTGTGTGTATGTATGTATGTATGTGTGTGTGTATATGTATGTATGTATGTGTGTGTGTGTGTGTATATATATATATATATATATATACACATATATATATATTATTTTTTACTGGTTTTAACTTAATGTTTCCTTTACCTTGTCTTTTTAAAAACACATTACTTGATTTGCTTTAATTCTTTCTCTTTTCATTAATTGAAAGTTACTAATTTAGATTTCTATGTTACTGGAAATTAAGTATTTATAGTTTTCCTGGGTCTTAGGAATACCAATTACATTGTGGTTAAATGCCTTTTTGAAAAATTTATATAAAAGTATGTATTTCCCTATTTCTTTCTGTCTCTCTCTGTGTGTATGTGTATAGTGCTAGTAAACAGTCAATTAAATTCACAAGCTTTGTTTTTGGTGAACATAGTAACTTAGAAATGTCTAAATGTTAGAAAAAGGAAGTGTTAGAAAAAGTCCTGTGCCTAAATGGTTGTTTTATCTCCTACTGCTGAGCTTATTTATGTGTTGTTATGTAAAACAATCTCTGGTACAAACTATATTGAGTGAAATTTTAGGAAACTCTATGGCAGAAATTTCCATTAAACTAGTGGGGTTGAATATCAAGTGCAACATTAATTTTTTAATGATGAGCAGTAAAAGCAACATTTGTTTTTGAAAAGGATACACAATAGGAGTTCTATTCTATGATTTAGATTTCAGTTTCCTTCTGTCAAAAGACTGAGTGAAATATTGATACAAAATGATTTTTAAGAGTTCCTACACGTTTCATAGTTACTTTTCTATTGGTAAACTTGATCTATGAATATATTTATATTAATTTGGAAATTGAATTTTTTTCCTGCATTTCAAATAATGCTGTGCAGCCAGGAAAAGAACTCAGAGAGATACTCCGTACAACACTTGGAATTACTTGGAAATTAGTGGAGAATGTGAGTTTTGAAACTAACCTGGGTGAGATGTCACATCCTTGCTGCATGAAAGCACCCAGGGAAAACCAGAGGCTGTTAAAGATGCCAAACTCATTGGGAGGCTGGTCGCTGGGTCCTTCTTTTCCATCCTCTGGCTCTTCTGTGTGCCACTCATACGGACTAAATCTACTAACTAGGAACAAGACCACGCTGACACCAATGTAGGCAAAGACTATGCACATCCAAATCTCATAGGCCAGAGGATCCAAGAAGGAAAACACTCCTGGTTTAGATTTCTGAGGCTTTTTGATCATGATAGATATACCCAAACTCATGAAGGGCTTAGAGAAGTCAATGACCTCCTCTCGTACCAAAGTGATTGTCAGAGGGGCAATAGCAATCTCTGCTTTCTATAAGAGAAAAGACACATGGAAACATACAGGTTAATGAATTTCATAAAGCAATCAGCTCTGGGGTGGTTCATTCAAAGGTAACTAGTCATGCACTCATTCTAATTTCTTTCTTTCTTCTTTTTTTTTTTTTTAGTATCAACAACAAATGATCTTAGATACAGAAATAAACATCAATAGTAATTTGTTTCCATAAGATATTGCTTAAATTCCATGAAACATTTTAATTGGTGCTGGCAGTTAGATAAAAGGATGCAAAACAAAAAGAGTAAATAAGCAAAAGTAACTTGAACTCCAGTTTCTGCTATTAGTCTTTAAAGATCTGGGACAGTGCAGCATTAGAGAAGTAATAGTCTTTCCGTATGGCTGAATTTCGGAATTCTTGGCCAGGAATGTGCTATGCTGCTGCCTTTTCTGTTGCACTTGGAATGTTGCCACTGATTCATTCGTTGGCCAGCCTTTAACTTTATGAATTGCAAATTTCAAATAGTCTGTTCTTATTTCTTACCAACTCTGAGAAAACCAGTCATAAAGCCTGTGTTTGTATGATAAAAAGAAAACCCATTGTTTGACAATATTTTCCAATTAAGAGCACACACAAAAATCTGGAAACTGGCATTTATTTCTTGCTATTCACATACTTTATTTTCTACTTCCAATTAAAAAAATAATTTTGGGACAAAGTTTCAATTCTCAGATATTATGATCATAAGACACCAACTTCCTTTTCAGAGTTCTGTATTTCTGAACAAATTTTTGAGCCTGTTTCTGTGTCTCTAAAATGAGGACTTTTTTTTTTTTTGCCTGTTTACCTTATTGGGTTTATTGTATTATATATTAAAACCATTAATAATGGCGTTTATTAAGGGATTGTGTATCTGATGCTCATTTAAATGTTTTAAACGGCTCATTTAGTCTTCCCAACAATCTTGTGTTTATTGTTGTCTTGTAGATGATGGGACTAAGACTCAGCCTAAGGGTTACACACATCATGGCAGCTCTGGGGCCCAAGCTGCCTCTAAAAATCAATAAAATAAAATAATCAAAGAAAATTAAATCCTACCCCCTCTAAAATCAAACTAAGTGAAATATGGTGTAAAAAACCAAGCTGCTGCATGATCTAGCCGAAAAGCAATTTTGATTACTTCTTTTAAAAGGAAAATATCTGACATAAAAATGGAGTCAGAAACAGCCAGACACAGCTGCTACTTACAGGCTGCCACTCTTACATTAACTCCTGTACATTCCAAGCTCCTGGTTTGATGCAGTGACCTCAGTTCCATACAAAAGCCAGTGGGGTGTGAGGCTGGGTAAGGTACTTATAGTGATGCACTCTGCTGGGAGACCAGGAACTGGCCATATATATCTTCATGTGGGATTGAACTTCAATCTCATCACAAATGCTCACAATTTGCAAGAGCCAGAATATTAAGGGAAGCTATCATTTTTTCTACAGTAAGATATATGTAATTTTTCTTGAACAAGTAACATATGAACTGGCTATAAAAATTAGTATATAAAAACAGAAAATTAGAAAATTATCTTACTCCTATCACTCTTTTTTTATCTTACAATGTACCTTACTAGACTTTGCTCTACAAATATTTTCTTCTTTTTTAAAATATTTGATACTACAGAACATTATGCTTTATAATTTCTTTTCTCTTTCCAAAGAATATGACTAACACTTTTCCACTTCAGCATCCAAATTATAAATAAGTTTTAATGCTTGCAAATATTTTATTAAATGAAAATATAAAATTTTATTCAAATACTCATATCATGGAATTTATTTATTTATTTTTTACCTTTATGTAATTTAAAACTGTGACTGCAGATATGTTTAAAGGCAAATCCTCACATACATCTCACTATTTAAAATAAATTTCTATGGTTTGAGGGGTAGCACAGCAGTAAAGCACTTGCCAAGCCCTGAATTCAGTTCCCAGTACTGCAAAACCCAAAAGCAAACAAATGAACAAAAAAAACAATCCAGTTTCCATAGGAAATTGTTAATCCAAACAACAATGACCTTTTTAATGCTCATGATATATTTTACTTTACTTTTCTTCAGAAAAACAATGCAGATTTCTACTGGCACCAGCACTATGTGAAAAGCACATACAGCCTTGAACATCTCTTGTTGGTCTTTAATCTTATTTATCATTATCTGTTTTCTTTGTGAAAAATTAAATTTCATTGTTCTGATTTGGATTTTTTAATTAAAAATGGCTACTTTCACCTCTTTTATTCATTAACTATCAGAATCTGACCCTATTTTTTTCATATAGAGTATTGATTTTTCCTTTCCAATTTGAGAGTGGTTTTATTCTTTGTTTTTGTAGTACTGATGATTGAGCCAGGGGTGCATTACCATGGAGGCACAGCACCAGTCCCCTTTTTAAAAACTCTTTCTTTTCATTGTAATTGGACACAATACCTTTATTTATTTATTTATTTATTTTGTGATGCTAGTCGAGTGCTCTATCGCTGAGCCACAACCCCAGCCCCAGTACCAGTCCTTTTTATTTTTTATTTTGAGACAAGGTATCACTAAGTTGCTGAGGCTGGCTTTGAACTTGCGATCCTCCTGCCTTAGCCTCTCAAGTTGCTGGGATTACAGGCCTGTGCGTGTCACCACACCCAGCTATAAGTGGTTTTAAATTGATAAAATGTAAACTTTTATTTTCCGTATATGTTTCTATATATTGTTTTGTTTTCACAACTTAGTTAATGGTGTTTTTCCACAATATATATGTTTTAAATTCGTTGTAGCTACATAAAATTATCTTTTTGGGTTAGCAGCCTTTGTTTCATACTTTAGAAAAATCCTTCTCATATCAATATTATTTTTTTCTAGTATTTATAGTAAGTTTATTATTTATTTTGGTATATTCCATGATGAAGTATTACAGAATTACTAATTTTCCAATTGGTTGTTCTGCTGTCCCAAAAGGAATGAAAGAATAATGTTTGCATCCATTCACTGATGTGAAATGTCACTTTAAACATACTTTGTTCTATGTAGCATCTTCTAGAATGTTTTAATTTACACATTATCACTAGCGGCACAAGAAACCTTAAAACAAAAGAAATGTAAATAGAAATCAAGATGTTTTCAGCATACAAAAATAGACGCAACTGAAGGTGAACATTGGATGAAGGTGGTGACAACAAATTCCAATGAAGAACATATTTTTGAAGCCTGAGATTTATGGGAGTTTTGAAAAAGACCAGTTAAGAAGACATAAATGGGCTTTCTCTAATAACATTGGGGATATGTGTCTACCTTGTCCTATGACCTCTCAGTGATGCCCCAAAGGTAGTCTGTAATATGTCTCTTTTAGCAGTTGGGAAGATTTGTATTCTTGAACATCTCTGGATGAGAGAGGGGTGAGGCTCATGAATCAACATTTTCATGCAGTAGTAAAATAGTAGTAAACATTTACATGCCATAGGTAACTGTGATGCTAGTGGGCCATAGTTTGTGTTTTGAGAAATATTTCCTTAAATACACACACACACACACACACACACACACACACACACACACACATATATTCACACACACACAGTATGGCAGGGCCCAGTAGAAGGCACCCTAGGGCAGCAGCACATCACAGGAAATCTGAGTGAACTTGATATACAGGCAGGACCTAAAAATGTAAGAGAGGCTCTGAGCTCCTGGGCCTCTGTGTGGTGGGGTGTTGTGTCTCAGATGTGTGTTCACAAGCAAGAAATCTGTTCATACAGTTATATTAGCAAAGTTGGAAAAGAGCAAGTGAAAAAAAAAATTGGTTCAAAGTAAATAATTCAGCAGTCTAACAGGCTTTGTCTAGAAAAAGAGAAAAGATTGAGTTTTACCTGGAACTCTGTAAAGTGGATAATCATGTTTGTGTTAGCAGTAAAAAAGAAAAAAGAAATCTGAGAAGCAAGGAAGGATTTTGTAGACACCAGAAAAGAAAGTATAACACCTGTGGAAAGTTGAAGAGACATGAACAAAAGATTCCTTTTGGGACAACTGCGGGCAACTCAAGTGGCAAAGATTGAGGTCTTCAAACACAGGTTAGCTGAAAAAATAGGATGACATTATTAATACCTATTATGTTAAACTTTTCTCTCTCTGAGAACTGTATGGCTTTGGAACTTTTTATTAATGTGACATGTATTACTGATGTGTTTTTTGCTGTTAATTATACTATTATCTTCATATCATTTGTTTTCATTATTTAAACAATTGCCCCCGAATAAAATTTGGTCAAAACACTTGCCAAGAGGTGGTCCTGTGATGCTCAGTGGCTGGGGGAACATTACAGGATAGACGTGTAACAAATGCCTTAGAAAGTAACTTAGTTAGCTGGTGGATCCACAGTTAATTAGTAATCCAAGTATGACTTTTTTTTTTAGATAAAATACTCAGCAGTATTTTCTGAAGGAATTGATTTACTGCCCATGTTGAACATCCCTAATCTGAAAATCTGTAGTCTGAAATGCTCTAAAATCCAAAATTTTTTTGATTGCCAACATAATACCACAAATGCAAAATTCTATATCTGACCTCATGTGATGGGTTAGAGTCAACATATGGTTTCACATATAGAAACTCTGTTTCATGCATAACATTATTTTAAAATATTTCATGAAATTACCCTCAAGCTATGTGTATAGGTTTATATGAACCATAAATTAATTTTGTGTTTCAGATTTGGGTCTCCGGGTATCTCATTATGTTTATGTGAATATCCCTAAATCTGAAAGAAATCAAAATTTTAAAAGCCTTCTGATCACAAGTAATTCAGATAAAGGATACCACACTGTAGTTCTGGCAACTTGGATAAGGTCCTTGTTTAAAAGTTGCTTACTGTAACAAAAGTTTAAAATATTAACCAAAGAATGTTTATGTTAGGGATCCATTTTCCCTGGAACTTACAACTCAGTATGAACTGTCCAGGAATCCTGTGGTAAAATGTGTCTTGCTTTTTGTAAACTGCATTTTCTCCCTCATTTAGGGCCACTTAAGCAGTCAGCAGTTCTTTTCTCATGGATATAAAACTGATTGCTTTATAATGTCAAACAATTTCTCTTTCTGCTGAGGTTGTACCTACTGTACTATGCTGTACAGAAAATGGTCATTGCTTAATGGTCTGAAAAGCAGGATACAGAATCATGAAACTATTGAATTGCAGTTCTGGTTGAAAAGTGAGTCCCTCTGTCGACTTCAGTAATGTTCTAAATCTTTCTATCTTTACTCTTTTTACACTCTGTGTCATCCTTCATTTCAAAGGAGTCTTATGAGGATTAATCGGATAGAGTATACTTTGAAAATGAGATCTGTGAATTATGAATTGGCTCTTATAAAATTTCAGAATATATTTCAAGTGTATGTTACTTTTATTGATTACTGAATGAATAGAGCTTACTGTAAGCTACAGTTTTGGATTCTGGACTTTTGAAATATCACAGCACCACTAGCATTTGATAACTGCCAGTTTGATTTTGACACTGCAGTGGTAGCCAAAGAGAAGGATCCTGATCTTGTTCATTCAGGCACGAATGTCAGTGCTGTGTTTGCCCTCGGCTATCAATATATATACTAGATGACTGACACTCTCCAGGGAAGGGAATGGTGCACTTTGTGGGAAGCTCACTTCAGGAAAAATTCTAGGTTTTGTATTTTGCTCTGTATACTAGTGTGAAAAAAAAGATGGCATTATATAAAGTTTAAATATACTGTGTTTCTGCAAAATTGGGAGAATCTTGCATGGTTGATGAATATTTTATAGAAACTAAATCAGTGTAGTGATTGCTTCATCAGTTACTTTAAAGCTACTAATGAGTAATTACAAACAACAAGGATACAAATAACTAGGTAAAATAATGACCAACTTTGTACCATTGAAGGAAGTCTGCTCTTGTAATTATCAAATGACAGACTTTGAATGGATTTGCTTTGTAGGTCTAAGGTTCTCTGGTATACCAGTCTCAAGCTTAAGGGTTTCCTCAAGACAGATCCTGAAGCAAATGCTTTTGTTTTTTCCCTGAATTCCCACCCCCCTTCTTTTCTGACTTTGAAGCTATCAAACATCAGTTTAATTATTTGGAAATCACATTTTTACCAAAATGGGGAAATCATTGAATAACATTATGCCTCTTGAAACATCACTCTAAACTTATAAAATAGTAATAGATGTTTAAAAATTGATATGTGCCCAAGTGAAAAGTAATTTCAGGCCATGTAAGTAAATTCTTCAATAAATTGATTTGCTTACCCCGTAAACAAGTTCTCCTACCATCCCATTCCAGATTTTTGTGTCTGCATCCCTTGCTCCATATTTTCCATCAGGGACAATGGCAATTTTATACTTGATACCAATATGTTTTGCAATTTCAGATGCCAAATCTACACAGTATCCTTCATACTTGTCATTTCCTTCAAACATTTCGTGATTTTTCTTGTACATAACATAGGGGGATTCCTATAATGAGAGAAGTGAAACTGTAAAGGAGAAATTATAAAAACATTTGAAAACCTTTATGTAATTTGCCTTTACGTAATTTTCAGAATTTGACATAGATAGTATATTCAGCACTGTTACACATGCGATTTTGAGTGATCAGAAATTAATAGATAAAACAGATGAATACATAAATATGCTTAAGATTATATTAAATTGGATAATAAAAGTAAATCTTTAAAATAGTTTTCCACAGAATTATTATTACATATCCAGTACTGTGACTTTAATAGAAAAAATGTCCATTATTAATTCTCTATAGAGCAGCTTAAGTTATCTTCTTTGGCAATGAAATTATATTCCCAAAATATCTCATGAAATTAGAGACTATTGAGTAGTCAGCTTCATTCAGAGTCACGTGTCTTATGAGTGAGTTAGATAATAGGAGCATCCTTACAATGTGGAAGTTTACCAGTGGCTAATAATTATGGGACAGTTTTCAGTTAAAACACATACTCCTAAACTGAAGCATTTAAAGGCCCTAACTAAAGAGACATGTTAGCAAAAGGCATTTTGTTTTTGCAAATGCCACCTAAGGCCTGGTGAACATGAGATAGGGATCTATTCTGGTCACACTTTAGCTTTTTTTTATATATATATATATTTTTTTAGTTGTTGATAGACCTTTATTTTATTTATTTATATGTGGTGCTGAGAATCGAACCCAGTGCCTCACACATGCCAGGCAAGTGTGCTACTGTTGACCCCCAGCCTCAGCCCACACTTCAGCTTTTTTAATCATATGCAGATAAGACTGACCACTTTTGGCCAGAGATTTATTGATATAATACATTTGTATTTTATAAAATTATAACTTTAATTGTTCCTAAGAATCTTTTCTTCTTCCCTAGAAAATTCACAGTCAAGGAAGCTGAGCTCTGGATTAGAAGGCAATTTATTTTATATAAAACAGTAGTCCTACACTAATTCTGAATTTGCTTATAAGTACTTTGCAAACGTTGAAGCCCATTTTAAAAATAATAAAAAATATGTGAATTACATGATATTTTTTTCATAGAGATGCCCTAAGTAATTACACAGTTGGAAATTGTTCATACTATTTTATTAAATAATACCCTTGTAAGGCATTATCAAGTGACCCAGAGGTCTCCTAATTCTTTGAATTTGATGAATATTCTAACTGGAATTGGGTAAAGAAAGTTTCTCCACCTATAAAATTAAAGCACTCTCTCTTCTTCAAAATGAAAATTATTTATTAGCTTACAGAAAATATTCTGAAATTTAAAGCATTTTCTAAATTATGAGAGTGATTATAGAGATTGGTGAATTGCTACAAAGCATTTTAATTTCTAAAATATGGTATAAAATCTTAGTTATTATAAGCCTACTTTTTTGTTTTCTCTTTTTATAATAACCTAATCAAAATATGAAAGATAATGCAGAAAAAAGCAAGAGCACATATTTGTAAAATATTTTACATTCAAGTATATTCAAATACATATATTGTATAGAAGGTTTCCTGGCTAGCAAATAATCAACTTTACTAAAGTGTCTTTTTATTACATAGTGAAAATTTTGCTTAATTAAGACAGCACATTTATTATTTAATCAGACATTTATTAAACACCCATTGTATGCCAGGTAATTTGCTGGGACCTAGGAATATAAAAATAAATAAAATAATAAAATATCCTCCTCTTCTAATCAAATTACTCTAAATTCTTTGTAATAAGAGTAAAGGAGTGTAAATGGGTGAGGAGCAATAATGAAATTTAGTACCAAGAATGATAATAGTTCTTGCTTATTTAGTGCTTACTCTGTATCAAGTATGATCGGGTTAATCATGCTCTTTCATCAACATTTTATATTGACATTTTACAGTAGGCATTTCTCTTTTGCAGATGGAAAAATTAAAAGACTGAGGGAAGTTAAGCATTGTTCTGAAATAGAACTAACAAGTAACCAATGTGGGAGTTAGGTATACATTTTGAAATATCTGGAAAATTTTAAATTTATTATCGTACCCATTAAAAGATGTGCAACTAAGATTTCATATGATTTAACAAGAGAGGCAACAAGAATGAAGAAAACTATTTTTGTATTTTTAGCAAATGAAGTTGTTTATTTTATATTGTCTTTTGAGAAAACTATGTAGATAAACCTTTCATTTCTCCTCCTGGTGTCTGCCATATAGAAGGCACTCAATAAATCAGTACTTCCTAAATAAGAATTTCATTGCAAAGTAATTATAGTAGAACTTCTGATTTAGTTCTTCAAAAGGGAGGTAAAAACTGAAAAGTGCTAGGTTGTCCCTTTTGAAGCAGGCATATGTACATATCAGTAAAATACTTAGTAAATTCTTTCTTTCTTTCTTTCTTTTTTTTTTTTATTATATTTTTGGAGGGGGGTGGAAGTGCTGCAGGTCTTTGTTTTCCTGCCAAACACACCAGCCAAGCCTAGAAAAACCTTCAGCTTGCTGAAGATGTTGATTGTGAATTGAGCTAGATGTTTTGCATAACTAGGACCATAAATAATGATTGGGATTCAGAATGAATGATGCATACAGCTTAAAAGAAACAAGATGACCACCCTCCAGGAGGTGGGAAGAACAGAGAGAAAAGCTAGGCTTTTCTTGCACAAAGTCTACCATGTTGCTCAACTCTACTCAGTTTCTTCGAGTGTGGCTCATTTTGCTTTCCCTGCATGACAAATCCATATGAGTAGCAAGCAAATCCTCAAAACTCCCAACCCCATTCGTCTCATCACTAATATGAAGAGCTGTCTGCATGTTTCTCTGAGAACACTCTATCCTGGGGAAATTTATTACAATGTTTTAGGGTTACTATGGGTGAACAAAATACCAAATCTTTTCAATATAACAACAACAAAACAAAACAAAACAAAACAAAAAACAAAACAAAAACCCGAATTCTAGAAAAGCCTTAAGAGGAACTTGTGAAGTATCTCTGCAAATCAATCTTACTGAGTCCCAAGTGTTCAATTTTGAATCACAATGGAAGGATCAGAGAGTGAAATATAACTTCTTCCTTCCAGACAGTGTAACCTTCCTCCTTTATTATCAAGTACTGTGCTCTATGGAACAATAATTTCTTAGAAATTATTTTATATGAATTACTTGTTAGTGATTGTCAGTTTATTAAAACTATTTCCATAATAAATGTTGGTATTTATCTTAGTTTGTACTTGACATTTTTAAAGCTTAATTAGGAGAAACACAGTTGGATATTCTACATTTCCTTTTTTTCTTTTCTTTCTTTCTTTTTTTTAATGTGGCACAGATTTGGATTTGGCCTTCTTAGGTTGTTATATAAATGATTACTTTGAATGCAAAAAGTTAAATCAGTATCATCATCAGTTCAATAATACTACAGATTTTATAAACCTTCTAGTTAATGAGACTTAAAGATAAAAAATTATGATAGTGTCAATTTTATTTTCTATTTAGATTTAGCTATACTATATTCAGTATGGTTATATTCAAGTAAAATAAACTCATCATTAAAATGAAGATCACATTATAGATATACAACACTGTTGTAAGAAAAAATAAAATTTCAGCAGTATAAAAAATGACACCACATTTTGTTTAGGAATGAGAGCTATAATAATCATGGATTATGTTTCTTATCTGCTTTTTCTTACTAGGATATAAATTCCACCGAGTGCAAGATTTTTGTCCGTTTGTTTTCTGACATATCCCCGGGGTCTATAACTGTGCCTAGCACACAGCAGACGCTCAATAAATATTTGTAAATGAATGACGGGAATTTCTCAATCAGTTTTATTTAACAATAGCATATATCATTACAGTGTATCAACATATAAATAACAGCATACACGAAGAAAAGACAAATGTAAAAACAGCAATATCATATCAATTTTGATTAAAATGGATGATTTCCAGTGCTCATTCTCAGACTTCTGTATCTAGAGATCTGTATTGTACATATTACAATGACCAGCCAACTCATCTGTATTGGGTATTTTCAGTTGAACCTGGGGAAGTATTACATGCAGTTATAAACATTAATCTACATGGAATCATATTTCTTTCAAAATGAATGAGGTGGTAGAGTTGTCGTAAGTACTGGCCTACCATTTTCAACAAAAGCAAATAAAAAGAACACTTCCAGGGAAGGAATTCTAGTATGTCTTTTTGAATTACTGAAAGATTATTCAGTTGCAAATACCAGAGGTATTATTTATATGAAGATTACATTCATACAAAAAAGATAGATACTAGTATTAACACTATTCGATAGCAAAAATATTGATGGCATCATTGTCAAACCACAGATAATTTTACAGAATATTCTTCATATAGAGAGAAAACAACTGGATTTTCAGTGACTTTTACTAATTTTTTGAGAGCATGCTTCCTGAAAACTAGCCATGCTTGCAAAATTAATTCAATATTTTGTTTTTAAGAATTTTATATTCAACCTTTTAATAAAAGGGATGGAAAGGAGATTCTCTACATTGTATCTATAACGCACAATAATACATTTCATTTCACAAAAAACCAAGCAAAATTTCCAAAAATCTCTAAAGAAAACAATTGCATATATTCAGAAAGCAAGCACAGGAATTCAGAGATTTTTACTTTTAGAAAATCTACCCTTAGAAATAGGAGTGGTGGAGTTCCATTATTTGTATACAAGGACCTCATTTCATGAGATGGGAACTGATATGTCAGATCACTAAGTAATTTCTTTTTTGACATATATTTTCTTGAGAAAGATGAGGATTTATTCTTCTTTTCTTTTTCAGAAAAGTCACAGACAATTTTTTTTAATTGTTTTCTGGTAGTCCAGAGTTGGTCATCCAAGAAGATTCCCACATGAAAAATAAGCTTAAATTATTACACAGGAGAACAAGACTCGAGCCTTAGTTAGGAATGGTCGAACAGCGTGGAACTCTTTTCTTTCTTGATCAATTTCTTAAAATAGGATTCTTCATCAGAGGCTGAAAAGAGGAGGACTGTACTGAAGTATGACTTTCCATTACTGTGTCTTTTTTTTTTTTTGGAAAAGAAATATAAATATATATTGCTTTTCAAGTCCCATGCAAATATTACACAATTAAATTAGAAGGTTTACATAAACACTGCAGTTGGTTGGTTTGTATTCTAAAATCATAAATTTCCAATCAGGGTTTGTCAGATTACATTAAATTGCTAACTGGTGATCCAACACAGATGTAGCTAATTGAAACATGTAAATGCTTCTCTATGGAATTTTCATGCTTTGACCTCAATGTCAGTTTTAGAAAAAGCGTGACATTACTAAAAACCTAAAGCTAAAAATTAAAATTCTGTAAGCTATAAACTAAATTATATAAAATGCTTCCATTTTATTAGAGTAGGGCTTCCATAAATAATTAATGATATATTTTGCCTGAAGAGACAGTAAGCTGAAGACATTATAGCTTTAGATAGGAAAGGTCACTGATTGTTGATCTCCTTTCACCACCATCGATTCTAATGAGCATGTTTGACTTTAGAAAAGAAAAGTACATAACATATTCTATTATTTAAAAGATAATTTCATAAGAATCTCTTGGAAAGTATAGCCTTAAAATTTAGAGTATTTTTTTTTCATTTCATGACGTGAGCAAATGAAGCAATCACATTTTTCTTAATTCCTAGAAGTCCAATAATTCATATGTGTATTTCTCACTAGACAATGAGAAAAATAATCAGTGCAAAAAACTCTTTTCACATTAAGAATAAATGCAAAACAAAATCAATTACTAAAACATTCGTTGTATAAAACATGCCCATTAAAATCTCTACATTTACATCTTTACTGTTATAAACAGACAATGTAAATCATTATCCAATGATTAAACTACCTGAAAAATTATAATTTTAAATACTATTAACTATTATTACATTGATGTTAAAGAAACATAATGACGATAATAATATGGTGTTTACTCCCAGATATCTTTCTGATTGGAAGTTGGCCTTTTGCATGTTCATTGGTGTTTGGGTCTCAACACTTCGCACATTTCCAACTAGATTTTGACAGTCTCATTTTTTTTTTTTTTTAACATCCGAGCACTTTTGCAAAAACAATAAATGCAACAAAAGATAACACAAATAACAGTACAGAAAAGACTCAAAACTCTGGACAAACCTATTCAATAGATTTTGGTGAGTCAGAACACTCCCATCATCACTAAGATTCAGTTTCTGCCCTCCCTGTTCACTTTAGTTGGGGAGTTAATATTGCCTGTGGACAAAACGGAATACCACAAAGCATACACCAAAACTTACCATGATTGTGGTCACAACCACTGTTCTGTTCTCAATGGCCGCTGTGTCATTGCCAAGAGTAGGGACATCTTGAATCAAGACTAATTTGTCCATATCATTCCAGTAACCAACCTGCCAAACAGAAAAAATACTTGAAAACATGGAGAAGTGTTGGCTCTAGCTTTATTTGGGATAGTGAGTGCTATAAATAACTAAGCAACCAAAACAAATTTAAAATGCAAATAAAAAAGAGTGCTTGCAAGTTTTGTTAATTGATAATGAGCCAGTTTTCTTGGTTTTAAAGATACTACCTTATTACATATTTACAACTTATTATCATGGTGTGGCCAAGATATTGGGAAGGGCTGGTTCCAAAGGGCATATGAGTTAGATGGAACACCATTTATGGTGATTCTCTCTTCTAGTGGTATAGACTGGCATAGCCTAAAATTGATTTATATGATCTTAAAATTAAAGCTACAAGTTGTATAGTAAAGGAAATAGCCAGCCTTTTAAGCAAAAGAAAATGTCATATTTGTTTATTTGTATATTCATTTATTTGGTACTGGGGATTGAACCCAGGGATGTTTTACCACTGAGCTACTTCCCCATCTCCTTCCTCCCTCCCTCCCTCCCTCCCTTCCTTCCTTCCTTCCTTCCTTCCTTCCTAGTTGTTGGAACTGTCCTTGAATGTGACAACCTCCTGACTCAGCCCCCCAATTACAAAGTATGTGCTACTATGCTCAGCAGAAACTTGTTTATTTAAAAAAAACAACATAGAAATGGACTTTGTCTTGCTACAATCTAACCACTAGATAATAATAATATCATTTTTGAAATGCTAACTATATCACAAATGAATATTAATGAATAATGTTTATAGTTTCAAAGCTTATATTTAAGATTATTTATTTTTTTTTGAGAGAATTTTTTAATATTTATTTTTTAGTTTTCGGCGGACACAACATCTTTGTTTGTATGTGGTGATGAGGATTGAACCCGGGCCGCATGCATGCCAGGCGAGCGCGCTACCGCTTGAGCCACATCCCCAGCCCCTATTTAAGATTATTTTTGTATGCTTTTTTTTCTTCCTTCCCGGTACTAGGGATTGAGTCCAGGACCTGGCCCTGGCTAGGAAAGTGTTATACTACTGAGCTCCATCACCAGACCTTTTTTATTTTACTTTGAGATGGGGTCTTGATAAGTTGCTTGCCTTGAAATTGTAATCCTCCTGCCTTCAGCCTCCCAAAGTTATTAAGATTACAGGCATATACCAATATATATGCACCTGGCAATATAGGTATTTGAAAGTTAACGCATGTAGAAAATCTAAAAGTTGGTCCAAATATCTGCATTTTACAGATGAAGATTCATCTAAGAAGGTTTTAAACAAATCATACAAGGTTATGCTTTTGTGAGGCCAGAATTAAAAACCCAAGGTCTACATGACACCAAGTCCAAATACTTAACTCTTATGCTAAATAGACTTCCAAAAATAATTTTCATTTAATTCTTCCAAACCTCCTTCTTGAATTTCCTAATGCTGTTTTTTTTTTTTTTAATATTTGCTTTGTTTTAGTTGTAGTTGGACACAATACCTTTACTCTATTTTTAGGTGTTGCTGAGGATCAAACCCAGTGCCCCACATGTGCTAGGCGAGTGCTCTACTGCTGAGCCACAACCCCAGCCCCCAATAAAATGCATGTATTTGCTCACTGATCTGCATTCACTATTTGTTCTAATATGTTTGAGGAGTCTCTCTCTTGCCTCCTCCAAGTTTCTTAACTGCCATATTAGTATTCAGGAACATATTACAATAAGGCAAACATTAACATGTCAGCAAGAGGTGCTACAAGCATTGTGTATGTGATTCAGTAACAGAATGGAGGAGAAAGAACTTCCATTAACATGGCTAGCTTTACTTTTTGGTTTGACCCAAAATTATGGTATATTTACATTCAGCAATTGTTTTCAATTGTCCATGTGGATCCATTTCTAGCTGACATTTATTTAGCAATTCTATGAAAATTTCAACTTAAAAACAAGTATGCCTTTGAGACTCTCCCTTTACTCAACTCCTGTGTGTACTTAAAAAATGCCAGTTGCTTCCTCTTAATTCTCCTTCTCACGTGACAGTTGTGTGACATGAAAATGTATTTTACGGTTTAGTGCTTCATTAATGTGCAGCCACCCTACAGATCACAATAGTCCATTTTCAGGAAAGATGATTTTTCTTTATTAATGAGTCTCATCATGGAAAAATATCAGAAATCTGGGGCACATTTTGGAGAGTATTCAATTATTGGCAAGACCTTAACATTTTTTACTTAACATGTGTATTTGCAATGTTCCCTTCAAAGAAAAATGATTCAAAAGTGCTGCAAAATAAAAATAAAAATAATAATAATCAAAATTTTGTCACCTTGTTTTTTATTTACATGCAATTCTAGTGAAAAGCCACATTGTGGGCTGGGGATATAGCTCAGTTGGTAGAGTGTTTGCCTTGCATGCCAAGGGCCTGAGTTCAATCCCCAGCACCACACACACACACAGACACAGCCACATTGTGAGATATACATTCAATTAATGGTAGATTTCATGAAGGCCATGGATTTATTGAAAAGTTAGACCATACAGGGGTTATTTCCTAAAGAAAGGAATTTAAATTTTGGGCCTAGACCCTCATTGGAGGTGGAGTTTCTCTCTAGTTAGTTTCAACACATTTTACATTTAACTAAGAACTTTTCCCTTGCCTGGTCTCATTTAATCACACAGGGAAATAGCTATTTTTGCTAGAGAACGAAAATAAATGAAAAGTGTTTTTGTAAAGCTGGAGCAAAAATATGAAAGCATTTAAATCACTAAACTTGTGTCAGATTAAATATCCATTAAACAGGGATGCCAGAAAAATATTTATCTTCTTTAGACTCTGAAAGGTAAATTGTGTGCAAATATAACTAGAACACAGCATGTGGGTGAAAGTCCATGCATTTGTTGGAGGGTCTTTGGAGCCCAAAGCTGAGGGATTTGTTTGTATCGAGGAAGCCCCTGTTCCTCCTGTGAGGAACCCCTATTCTATTTAATGGTGGTTACTTTGAGAGCAACTTGGAGCCGTCCTGAAAAATCTGGCTTATTCTCCCACCAACCCTAAAAAGAATCTTATTAGCACTGGCACTGATGTTTCATAGCATTCAAGAGAGTAGTCTCAGGAGGTATAGGAATTTTGTTTCTAGCTGACTATCCATGAGTAGGTTAGTTTCTCTGAGTCTTTTTAGTAAAATGAGAAAAATATATCTTATTTCCATGTCATCATGAGGCTTAAATGTAAGAATGCACATCAATTTCCCGTGACAGTGCCTGGTATATAACCTACTCTCAATAAGTGAAAGTTTCACAATTAAATCTGGTCTTGGAACACTGTCTCTGGAGCCCTGGCTGTCACACCACATGTAGGGGCCTGGACTTCAGAAAGAGCTTTGTGGCTTCAGCTTAATGAGACTCTCAATCTGTTTTTCTGTTACTGAAGTCAGACAAACTGATGGGTTGACTCTCTGATCTATTTTCAAAGATCGCTCCCTGGTTGGCAAGTGTTCAATTTACAAGAACGATCACTCACTTCTCAGACATATTGCCTAGTCTCAGCAGCATAGTGTTTCTCACTGTGGCTCATTTTTAAGTTTAATATTCTTGACAGAATGCCCAAGTTGATCATTGCCACAGGTAAAGGGAGACAGATGAATCTGCACCATTTTACACTTCACAGTTCTTTAAAGAGTCTTAGATGAATGTCAGCTGGGTGTGAAGATGTACTGTTCATTACTCTCCTGACTTACTCTAACTCTCTCCTCAGAAAACCTTAATGGTTGTTACCATCATGGTTCAACAAACCATGAAAAGATTCAGCAATATATAGACCACTTGATATTATTGCTCTACTTCCTGCTTCCTTTCCCCATCATTGTTTCTCTTATGGAGAATGATTTGAATTTCTGTACTTATTTTACAAAAGTATAGAGTTGTCTTTTGCCTTTGGAAAAGCTTCTGCTTTATGTGAATTTTGCAAGATCTGGTGCATGATGGGAAGATGGCCTGTCTTACCTCTCCCATTCCTTAGTCGAGGGTTTTAGGGGCCTCTGAAATGCTCTGTCTGCTCCACAGCTAGTGAAACTTTCACACTTTGCTGAAAATGGGCCTTTTCCTTTCTTGTTGCTGGTGGTGTGGTGGCAGAGTGGTTAAAGTGGTATTGATGTGGGAACTCCTGACTTTCTTTTTCCTTTGCTTTGTGCAGTCTCTTGTGGAGCTTAGAGGTGGTACAGCTAGGCTCTTCACCTGTCATCCAGCTTCCATTCTATCTGACCTACAGCTCCAGCCCAATGTGTGCCAGCAGCAACCTGCACAGAAGAAGATGCATCGAGAGGCCCACAAGCCGGAGGGGTTTCCATGCCAGGTGTCTCCTCACATGGATACAGATGCAACTGAACACCATGCACTGGAGCAAAACACAACTTGGAAAGCCTTGGCCAGTTTCCATGAATGACCACAACTGCCCTGTCTCTAAGCCATTCCTCGGATTGTTGCCTCTGCCTTGTCTGCCTACTTGAACCCTAGCTTCATGGATAACTTTAAATTCTCCTCCTCCACGCAGCCTTCCTCCATCTCTTTCCCTCCAACTGGAAGTGGCTCTTCCTTTTAGGAATTCTACATGCCTTGTTTCTTTGTCACATGGACCATATATCCATCTCAGTAGAAGACCAACTTCTGAAAATGAGGGTCCACACAAGACAAGGTGTGAAAAGAGTCTGGAACCAGACTCATGAGAATTAAAATTCTGTTTTCTCTTACAGGCTTTACATAAGCAACCATAATGTATTTGGACATGATTTTCTTGTTTAGAAAAAGGGAGATAATAATACTCAATTTTTTGTTCTTCTTGTTGTTTTGTTCTTGTTCTTGTAAATTCTGAAAGTACCAGGTCAAGTCCTTGAGACTTAGCAGGAATTTCAGAAACTACAGGTATTATTATTATTTTTATTAAAGCAGGAAAATATATTTTGGAAAGATTTTAAACAGCCAAGTATTGACCCAGAGTATTTATTTATTTACTTATTTTAGTAAATATTTTTACTAAATATTTACTTATTTTTAGACACAGGGTTTTTAGATAAGTTAAACTGAATATCTCTTCCCTTGAAATCCTAGGCAAGCCTAGAGAAAAGGAATAGTAGAAATCACATGTGTTGGCTATAAAATGCTTACAACTAATTACTGTGGTACGATTGTATGGTTCCATTGTATAAAGTACTTTTTTTTGAAATTGGGAAAACTGCTGATGTATCTTAAGATATCTAGTTATATCTTAGGACTGGCAGTTATCTTCTGAAATCCCAGACCCTGAAACCAGTACCTTCCTGAACTGAACTGGGGATTTGCTCTCCTACTCAGCCCAATAATAATAATCCTCATAATCTTATCTTCCACTTGCTTTCTCCTTTGCTCTTTTGAATTTGTCTACTTGCTTATTTCAACATCTAGCCTGTTCTAAATACAACCACCCATTAGAACTAGTTTTTAAAACGTTTGTACGCTAGTGACTTCATACAAGGTATACAGAGGTGCTATGTCTCTTTATTGAATTGTGTTCTTTCCTGCACAGCAGAGTTATGTTTTGTGGAATTTTTTTTTTCTGAAGCCCTTCCCCCAATATTGCTTCCATTGTGGGAAAAAAATCACATAAATAGTGCATAATAAATTAGTAGTTTTAGCTTTGCCACACCACTGAACATACGATACCAGAATTTACCTCAGCACAGATTATCAAGATAGTACTATTTGTAAGTATTCACATTAAAAAAAGAAAGAAAGAAAGAAAGAAAGAAAATGTAGAATATCCAGCTGACTTTCTCCTAATTAGGCTTTAAAAATGTCAGGTGCAAACTAAGAAGCAAGATTTCCTTTTTTTGCAGTTTGATAGCAGCTTACCTTTCGAGGTCCTGTGCTTTTTAGCTCAAACACATCCATTGTGTAATTTACTCTACGTCCATAGTGGTCAAACTGAACATTCCCAGTCAGCCCTTGAATCCGAACCTATGAGAAAAAGAGAAAACCTATGCATGTATTTGTTTGCCACTTCACTACTGGAAATCTCAACTTCAGCTGCTGGGCTTATGACCACACACTGTGTAGAACTATAAGCTAAAACCACTCACTGGAATGCCATTGAGCATTTGAGTTTTGGAGATAGAATCTGAAAGAGGGATATCACATTGAGGTAAAAGTGATTCTGCTTTATACCTAGAATGAATACACTTCATTTCTTTTTATATTGTAAAGTTTCCCTTTTAACATCAAGATTCTTCCTCAATATTGAAGTACTATTTACAGCTAGTTTTCAATTTTATCTACGTATCTACATAATATATTAGATACCCTTATTCCCATGTCAGATCATATTTTCTCCTTGATAATACCAAGATATAAGAAACTAAAAAGTTGAATGTATTTTTGAAAAAATTCAAGTATATTTGATCCCAAATTTCCTTTTCATTCACTTTTACTTATGCTTTACCATGGCATTTAAAAACTTTTAAATTATAATATTTATATATGTAACATTCTGATATAATATATAGCATTATTTGAAAAATGGTATTCATATAATTATAAAAGAACAGAATAAATTGATTACTTATTACAAAGTGAAAATTTAAAGATCTTCTGAAGTAGTCATTAGCTGTGTTTGCCAAATATTTCTTATTCTTCTGCATTCTGGGCCCAAGGTAGGCTTGTACTTCCTGAGTACCTTCTGGTTAGCTAGCATTATGTAATTCTTTCTGATATATAACTTGTAAACAGATGTGATGAGCCACATACAGCATTTAACTGCCAATTCAAAACCTGCCTGTAAGAATCTTTTTTCCTTTGCAGCAATCAAGATGACAGCTGTTTTGCCAGCCTGAGCCCCTGAGTGACTATAGTGGGCAGAGGGCCCTTGCTAATGTAGAGTGTGGCTAGTGAGCAAAGCTCGTTTGATGTTTTGAGCCACAGGGATGGGAGGATTACTTATCACAACCCAATGCTGGTATGTTAAGATTAAAGCATCAAAATTTTACTCTGCATTTAGAAATGTCTGAAAGATAATGATCCCTTGACTTATTAAATTGGCAATCGTAAATATGCATTTATGCTCAGAAAAATTAGTCAGCTTACTTGAACATTTTACTTAAACAAGATCCTCACATAAATTAAGCTTAATAAAAGTGTGAGTTACCTGTTTGAGTGTCCTCTCCATGTCAATTCCCTGGCCCCATGGGGCAGCAGGGTTTGCCAGACAATCACCAGCATTTCCTCTCCTTGAGATATCGATTTTCTGCCTTCTGAGGCTTCGGAATGTTTCAGCCATCACCAGGACTCCGTCATAAGTCAGGGCAGAAGTGTACTAATCGAATGGAAGTGATTATAATGGTAAATGTTAAAAAGGTTATTTAACACTAGAAATGGTCTGTGGGCTCTGTGGGCTCAATGATAAAGCCCAGTGTCTGGAGGATGATGAGATTAATGATGATTGATTCACTCTAGCCTCAAAAATTTGTACTGTCACTTAAATACAAAGACTGTATGTCAAATCTTGTCATCCTAATTAAAAAGGCAAACACACATTCTGAAAATGGAGGGTATTAAACAGATTCCATCAGATGGGAGAAACAAGACCTCAGATGAAGACTTTCTGTTTTGTCCAAATATAAACAGCAGTGGAATAACAAAATCCTAGGTTCAGCATTCTTGGAATCTTCCTTGTCTGTTGCAGTTGGTAAGCCCCAGGAGTGCTGGGCTGTCTTATGCTATTCCTTCCCCAAAATGCCTATAGGGATTCTCTGAGATTTAATTTATCTATAATGACTTGAAGTGTGTATCTTTGTTCAGTATTCCAGGAGAATTAATGGGATTGTTTGTTGTTATTCAAAAATATGATGCCAGAAATTACATCTCCTTGCTCAACAAACGAGTATTCACCAGTTACTGCACTAAGTGTGAACAAGGATCATTCAGGAGAGTTAAATCATTTCTTGTAAGTTTCCATTACAATCTTGGATCAGAGTGCAGAGACAAAGCATAGACCATCTGCTTTCCAATGACCACCCCTGCTTCTTTACAAAAAACAGTGAATTCCCCAGGAAAAATTATTAGGGTAAGAGAAGACATGACAAAAGACCCAGTAATTTGTTTAAGCTGAAAATGAAAACAATAGGGGGTTACATTTGGAAGAATTTGTTTAGAGAGTTACCAAACACATGGGAAGCAGGACACATTTTTCTTGGTGCAAGGCTGAGCATTAATGACTAAGCATGAGAAAAACTGTCATCTCTTTCAGAAATTCCATATGGCCATTTCCATATGATGAATACCACCTCCACCTGTATGAGAGTAGATTTGTGCTGTGGAAAGTGGAGGATGATTTTGATTTTTACTTGCAAATGAAGAAATTTCAATTGTAGAAAGTAAACATAGGCAATATGACAGAGCAATCACTATTCCAGGGAAGAGAAAATCTAAATTACATATAAAAATAAGTTCTAATACAGAACCTTTCAATGGTAGAGGACCTAACCATTAGGTTTGTATTAGGATTTATTAAGATTCATGTAAATTAAAAGACTTGCTGTATATATCTCAAGGACATGATAAAATAGAAAAGAAAAAGAAACTTAAGAATATGTACTCCCCCCTCAAAATGGGGTAGGATAGCTGAAGGACATTCAGGTGATCAGCAAGGTGATATATCAACATAAATATGGCATGACTGTCCAAACCAATGCATCTTTGAGTAGAGAAAGTCATCAAATCATCTTTATATAGGACAAGAAAATAAAAAAGAAATAAAGTGAAACTTGCCAAAGGCATGAAGGTCAAGAGAAAAATGAATTACCAGTATTTCATGATCTACAGAGAGAAAAAAAGAAAAACACTGTTGCTTTTTCAGTAAGAAGAAAGAAACTACGAAGAGATGACATCAAAAATCAAACGCACTTGCTGTGGTTTTAAAAAGTTTATCCATTTTTGTGAAACAAGTGCACTAGAAAGAAGAACAGGTATCACACCGTGTGGAGCATTAGCAAAGGAGGCAGTCAGAGCAGCAAAGACCTGGGCTTTGACGGGTCATAGAACTGGTAGATAGATAGAAGCTGTAGTTTAAATAAGTTTTCTCTTTTCAAGGGAGGTAGCCCTTTTCCATGTGCCTTATTGTATGACAACCCAGGAAACCACAATTATGGGCACACAACTTCTAGATGGCACCTAGAAAATTCCTATTAAATAAATATTTGGAAAAACTTGATCTTGGCTTAGAGTTATTTACAGCTCTAACCAATGATCAGAATGGTGGGAGGAGTTCTGTTTTCCAGGGTATAAGACAGAGATGAGCAGAATCATACTAAGTGGAAAGAATGTGGGCTTTGAAAAGAAAGAACTGAGATGAATGCTAATTCTGCTACTCATGGATGTATAGAAGAAAATGTGAAACACATTTTTCTCAGTTATGAAACATTAAACAGAGGAGTTAAATAAGATAGCAACAACTATATGCTATGGTCTTTTCCAGGATGAAATTTTGTATCATATTTGAGAACTCTAAGAAAGATGTACTGAAACAGTGGGTAGGAAGAACGACAAAGGAGAGTGATAGATGGTTATTGCCCCAAAGGAGTTAATAGTCGTGAAACAGTAAGTATGCAAAGAAATAATGTTAAATCCTTGGTGAGAATTACACACTCAAATATTATGGAGCGTACAAAGGAGAAAGAAATGGATATTTACAGGAGAAATAAGAAAAAGTTTCAAAGAGAAAGTGAAATTGAGATAAAGCTTTGGAAGATGGTTGGATCTGGACAGGTAGAAATGAAGGTGGAGGACAATGGAAATGGAATCCCAGTACTGAAGTGAGACAAGCATAGGGGCAGTTCTGATTGGAGCATTGGAAAGGGAGCAGAGGGTCATGAAATTGGAATTGTTTAGCCTGCATTGGTGGAAGATATTTATTCCAGAAGATTGTTTAAGCAGATATGTTTTAATATCAGAAAACATGTTGTTAATCTTGGCTGAAAAACTAAACAATTAATTACAATGAATCCTCATTATTTGCAGATTCTGTGTTTTTAAACTTGCCTACTTGCTAATATTTGTTTTGTGATCCTCAAATCAATACTGGAAATCCTTTTTTGGTTATTTGTGGTCATGTATGGAGTAGTAAAAATCTGAATTCACCAAACATTGCAAATTCCCAGTTGTGATTGAACAAGGAAGCACTTCCTTTTCTTGTTTCTGCTTACATATTGGAAGCAAATAGCCTTTCTGTGGTCTATTTAGTGCTGTTTTTGCCAATTTTGTGCTTTTTGTTGATAATTTTACTGTTTAAAATGGACCTAAAGCGTAGTATTGAGTGCTGTCTAATATTTCTAAGTGCAAGAAGGTTGTGATGTGTTTATGAAGAAAATATGAATGTTAAACAAGCTTTATTAAGGCACAAGTTATAGAGTTGCTGGCCTTTAGTGCAATGATAATGAGTCAAGGACACATTAAACAGAAACACATAAACCAAGGTTATGCATTGACTGGTTGATGAAAATGTTATATTCAGAGATTCACAAAAGGTAACCCTATATTCTCCTAAGTGCAATGGCTTCATATTTGCAGATTCATTATTTGTAGAGACTTTATATAACTATCATAAATACTTAAAATTGACTGTATATATTTAATAATTGGTTTCTAAATGTGTAGAATCATGGCAAGAGCTATGAAAAATCATATATATTTATATGCATATATCTGATATCTATTATATTGTGTCATAAACATATATTGTGTTTGTGTGTTTGTGAAAATATTGAAAATTGGCTTAAATTTAAACAGATGTCAACAAAGTAGATTATCACAAACAAATGCCATAAACCAAGCTGTGACCCAGACAAGTCTAGTTGGAGACTGTCAAACAGGAGACATTAAAAATGATTCTATGCTAGTATTTCATGAATTTGGTCCTCAATTTGAGGATAGTCAGTTAACATATCCATTTAACTTCTTGCATGTATTAATCTGCAATAACCGAAAGTAGGAATGCAGTGCTTGGCAGAGTGAATTCCCAATAAATGCTTTGTTTTGAAATTCCATGATTTTTTTTTTGAGAGAGAGAGAGAGAGAGAGAGAGAGAGAGAGAGAGAGAGAGAGAATTTATTTTTTGAATATTCATTTTTTAGTTTTCGGTGGACACAACATCTTTATTTTATTTTTATGTGGTGCTAAGGATTGAACCCAGCGCCCTGCACATGCCAGGCTAGTGTGCTACAGCTTGAGCCATATCCCCAGCCCTCCACGATTTTTATAGGCTAACCATCCAGATCCCAATATGGTAGTTGGGAAGTTGACAGTAGCAGTATGAAAAATTTTATAATTAAGAAATGGAATAGCTGAGACTCTCTGCGAGTAGATCTTAGTCTGTGCTTGAATGATCAAATTGTGTTTTAAGTCTCTACTGAAAAACACTGTCAGTGAGAAATTAGTAAATATTGATGATGATGATGTCTTATTATGTGGGAGCTCACAAAACTGAAGTTGATATGTTATGCCATTATTTAATGATGTCTTAGAAAATCAGCTGTCATTTTAGATGAGAAAAAAATGTACTCATTACCAGAAATTTACCAGCTTCCTTTGAAAATATTAACAAACACAACATGTAGTGTTTGTCAGAGAAAGAGTCAATGAATATGACTTTTACTGTTATTTTTAAAAATAAATTTTGCAAAAGTTCTAAATTTTGCATTTCTACCAATTTCCCAATATTTCTACTCTTTATAAATAATCATTTTGCAGATATAGTTATTATCAAGGTAGAAAAATTAATAGTGGCCATTCACATTTGAAATAGTTAGAAAACAATGACCTATAAGTAAATTGGATGTTCAAAAATAAAGTTATAATAATAGTAAACTGCTTGAGTTAATGTCTAAAAACCCTTAAATACAGAAATTTAGAAATTTTGCTTGGGCAGTGCAGTATAATACCAAAGAATTGCTTTTCTGAGCCATGCCTTATCTGATGAAATGTTAGAGAAACTGTATAATGAACTTTTTATTATAAATTTTAAAAATACTAACAGTACATGAAATAAAAACAAACAAATACCTTTGGGGGAGTCTCAGATCCTGGATACTCTCTCTGATCTAGTTTCTTCCAGCGATCCATTAATTTGGTTACCATAGGTGTATTGAAATCTACCAACTGGAATCCTGTCACATTGGCTCCACCATGTATAAATCTCTCAAGTGAAATGTCCTTGAATCCCTATAAAATCCATAGAAAAAATTGTTAAATTTACTTCATTATGATACATTTCAATTCTTTAATAGTAGCACAAATTAATGACCAAGATATATTTTAACAGATTTCTAATAGAGCAATGGCTAGTTGTCAGCTATTGAATTATGCCACTGTAGGCATTAAATCTGTCAGTCAAAATCCAATACATGAAAAAGCATATAAATATTTTCAGTTTAGCTCAACACAAGTATTTCTTGAATGCCTCTATGAATGCATGAGGGTATGGGAGACAAATAAAACAACATCAAAAAGTCTCCTGTTGAGGACGTAATTGTCCTCTGACACAGATATGTGCAAATGTGTATTATATAAAGGCAATATCAAGGTATAATGACATTCTGAGTCGCTGATAGGCGAGGTCATTTTAAGGGTTTTTGGTTTAATTGTAAAGTGGTCTAAAAGCAGAGAGAGCTGGGAATTTGAACCAGAGAATATAAAAAACTTTGATTATGTTAGTTACTACCATCCTGAGAATCCTGGGATACATTACTGCAAGAGAGGAGAGCAAGCAAGGCCATGCATGGGTTCCTGTGTTGTGGAAAAAAGATGGTTTCCACTGGGTGGAATGAGGAAGCCTGGAGGAAAAGGGGTGTTATCTTTGGGGCATAGAAATAGTAACCTGGGTTTCAAAAATTCTAGAAAGCTATTAATTTTCTATTGATTGATCAGTTGTTTTCTGTTGTGTATCAATTATATCTCCTCCTTCCCATCTTCCCTCTCTTCCTTTCTTCCTGCTTTCCTTCTTTCCTTTCTGTTATACCTAGCCCCTTTTCTCCATTAAGAATCTAAAGTGTCTTACAAAAATATGCACTCAAAGCAGGAAGAGGGAAAATGCATATTAAGGAAGTAAATTGATGAAGCCCAAAACATTATTAGCTCAGGGAAAGTGAACCCCCCCCCCACACACACACATGCACACACACACACACACACACGTGCACACACACGCACACATAAACAAGCTTGGAGCATCTGTCATTGCTTTTTGCTTTATTTTCTTTTAGTGTTTTGTAAAGGATTTTTAAAACATATATACAAGAAAATTTATTGCAGGATAATTTGGAATGGCCAAGACCTAGAAACAATCTGGGTGTTTTCAATAGGAGAATAATTAACTAAAATCATGGTGTTGATACTTTTTTTATTTGTTTATTTTATTTTTGTTTTTAGATATGCATGACAGTAGAGTATATTTGGGCATATTATGCATACATGAAGTATTAAGTTACCATTCTTGTGGTTGTACATGATGTGGACTTACACTGGTTGTTTGTTTATATATGAACATAGGAAAGTATGTCTGATTCATTCTATCTTTCCTATTCCCATCTCCCCTCTCTTCCCTTCCATTCAGTCCCCTTTGTCTAATCCATTGAAACATCGACTTTTCAGTTTTCATCTTATGCTCCTGTGTATTTTCTTTCTTTCCTTCTTGCTTTATTCCTTCCTTCCTTCCTTCTTTCCTTTTCTTTTCTTTTTAATTTTTTTATTTTTCTACTTAGTTGTATATGGTAGCAGAATGCATTTCAATTTATCATACACAAATGGAGTGCAACATTTCAATTCTCTGGTTGTACAAGGTATAGAGATGCATTGTTCATGCAGTCACACATGTACCTAGGGTAATGATGTCCATCTCATTCCACCATCTTTCCTATCCTCATATTTCTTTTTCTTTTTGGTTTGGGAGATTGAACCCAGGGGCACTTAACCACTAAGTTACATCCCCAGGCCTTTTATTTTTTATTTTATGACAAGGTGTCTCTAAGGTGCTAAGGCTGGTTTTGAACTTGTGATTCTTTTGCTTCAGCCTCCTAAGTCACTGGGATTACAGGCATATGTGGTTTTGCCCAGCTCTTATGCTTCTGTGCACAAAGATGTGTTTTAATTTTATTAATTATCAAAGCCCTGGCAGAGGCACCATAATACCATAAAAAATAAAATAAAATAATAGCCCTGCCTTTGAATCCCACCTTTGTTACTTTCTAACCTAGGCTTCCTACATGCAAAGTGAGAAGGATAATTCAAAAGTAACTAGCACATCTGATTTGAATTCAGTAATTGATAGCAATTATTAATTCATTCACTCAACAAATATTTATTTCATGCCTTTTTTATATGCCAGCTACTTTGACAGATAATCAGTAACATTCTGATTTCATTGAGGAATAAAGTAGATAGCAGAAAGCAAATCTATGTTTTGGAAATGGGAAAAACACTGACCATCAATCTTTAGCTACTAAAATGTCAGTTGAACATTTGTTTGCTTTTACCAGAGTATAGTGCAAACCCACAGGCAGGCAAATAATTTCAATATTTTCTAAAAAGCCACAGTAATTCAACTGTTGCATCAGTTACTAATTGATGACAATATTATTTTCTTTCAGCCATGGCTGAAATGGAAGGTCTGTCAAGCCTTTTATACCATTATCCACAGCTGCAAGACATTCAGGCAAAGCTGCAGCCTTCAGAAAAAAAACAAAAACAAAAAAACAAACAAACATCTGATGTAAAGCCTGTCTAATAAACAACAGCCTACATTTCTCTCATTCCATCCTATTGTTACACTGAAGATAAGGGAAGAATTACCTTGTCATGATAAACTCATCTTACTTATGATTTGAATGAATGGTGGGTGGCTTAGTTAATTTTTGCTATGTCTGTTCTAGTACAGGAAATATTTTCTCTTTCATATATTTTCTTAAAATTTTATATAGAAAATGGATAGGATCTAGACAGAAAAGCAGTTTCCTTGGAAACAGTTACTTTAGTGGCCATTAAGTTTCAGTTTGTATCCATATAATATTGTGGAACTGAAAGTTCTGGGGCAACAATGTAATAAAATCATTTACTCTGCAGTCAGGGGGAAATCAGTGAGTGAGTGTCTTAAGCAAATTCTGCTTAGGGCTGGGTGATCAGAAGAAAGGCCCTCTACCTGTGGAAACTGGCTACTAAGTTGCTTGTATTCCACCATGATTAATGACCTTTCCAGATTAATTCCCATCTTAGTTTTCCTTAAATTTCCATTTGCAATTCACACATTCTCTAGGGGGAGAGGGGGGAATGTTTAAAATTAGCATCAGTTATCCTGCTGACCATGTTAATCTGTAGGTCCAATCACATCACTGATATTTACTAAATGCTCATCCTTTAAGTTTTATCTAATTCATGCAAATTTTCTGCTTCTTTGAATTTCAGGTTCACAGGTTGACTAAATCACATCAAGAAAGTTCCGGTGCAGTTTGCAGAAGGAACATCAAACAGAATGGGGAAATTCTCTCTCCTCGTCTTTTAAAAATTAGTTTTAAGGAATGGGCTTAAAGTGTGTGCTTTTGATGTACATGTAGATGGTGGAGTGAGACCTGCTCCATGCAGAAAAGTTGAAACATAGGAAGCAGAAAGAAAAATGTAAAACAATATTGCCAAGTTGGTAAAATCTTTAACTGGAGTCACTGGACTTGAATTGCCTGAATAAAAATGTGTTAGATTGGGAATCTGGGGCACTGTTTCTAGGCCCATTCTGAAATAAACCATACATATAAATGCAGACAAGTCACTTTGCTCTCTGTATATTTGTTTGCTTTCTAGGTGAGACATGAGTAGTATACTGCATGTATGTGGCAGGTTGTGTGTGTGTGTGTGTGTGTGTGTGTGTGTGTGTATGCATGTGTGTGTGATGTGATAAGGGAGAAGTGAAGCATAGATTCAGTTAGTCTTTAATTATATACCCTAAACATGTTATACTTTTGAATTTCTTTATGTCAGAACCAGGTGTTTTCCTATATATGAAATGAATATATTTTTTAAAAAATTAAAAATTCAAGTGATTACAAGATTCTGACTTTGCCTTGCAGGTGGAACAAATGTCAAGAGCTCCTTGTTGCTGTGGATGGCCACATAACTGTGGAGGAGGAGTGAATATCAATACAGAGCAATGTCCAAAGCCAGATCCCCCGCTGGGTGATGTGGGGGGATGCTTAAATGAAGGGTCACTTTGTGGCATTATTGTCACTGTGTGGCATTTCCCTGGGAGTTTAAATAACTCATATGTTATTTATTCATTAGTGAATTTATTTAATTGTTGCAAGCAGACAGGCCAGAGCTTCAAATTTGCCTTTGAGACTTAATGGTCTGTGTGATATTGGGTAAATTATACTGACCCTCATTTTCCAGACTATAAAATAAACATCTATTTTTTAAGGACTAATTAAAATAATTATAGTAACAAAACAAACACAATGACCATAGCTGGGTTCTGGAGGAAAAGCAGAAGTTGAACAGATGAAGAGGAAGGAAAAAGACCTGTTTCATAGATGCTGTAGGAACAACATCTTAAAGAGCCTGTGGTGTGCTAATGCCTTATTCACAGTTGTGCTACAGGCTGTTGGACAGCACTTGCTTCAAAGGAGGTTTTGATGAAGGAGAAAGAAGCCTTCACCAACACCAATGACATACTATCAAAGGCACAAGGTGATGTTGAACACAGAAAAGGGGTTATCATAGTGGTACTTAAGGACTGCTTTCAAAAAGAAATGGCTGTAACAATTAATTAAGATTGGGTGGGACAAATGCTTTGAAGTAGAGACAGTGGCCAAGCTAAAGCTTCCAAGAGAAAAGCAGGTGTCTGGGAGTCAGGGTTTGATTAGGAGAACAGATACATGTAGGGGTGGGCTCTGCATTGAGTAGGAATAAAGTCATTTCTTTTTTTCCCTGTGGTACTGGGGAGTGTGTGTGTTTGTGTGTGTGTGTGTGTGTGTGTGCATGTTAAAGCACTAAGAGTGAGCTATATCCGCACTTTAACACTGAGCTATATCCCCCGCCCTCCTTTTTTTTAAAATTTGAGACAGGGTTTTGCTAAATTGCTGAGGTTGACTTCCAACGTGTGTTCCTCTTGCTTCAGCCTTTCCAGTCACTGGGATTACAGGTATGCACCACCACACTTGATAAGGGTGATAAAAACCTTAAAGGGCTATTTGCATTAAGTAGTACAAAGAGTTGATCCTAAAGAATTTAAGTAGAGCAATGCTTCACTTTAGAATGCTTATTCTGGTAGAAGATTGTGAAAACTGGAGCAATGACTCAGAGTTAGACAGTATGTCATTTTAGAGAAATGAAAGTCCTATGGAGAGGTGAGACAATTATTAGCAGGTAGGGCTGCAGGTCCACAGGACAGCATATCATAAAGGGTCTGATGTCTTTTACTATATTTGCAGTCTGGGACCATGGAAAAAAAATTAAGCAGGGAAATGATACAATCATGCCTGTGTTTAAAAAAATAACTGGTAGATCAGTGAAAGAACTAGAAAAGAGAAACTCTAAGGACTAAGAAATTGATTTCCTTACTTCGGTCTCTGAAAAACAACAACAACAAAACAACAACAACAAAACAACAACGACCACCACAACAACAAAAAACAGACTACATGAACTAACAGATAACATATTCCTACTTCTATATCCTGGAAGAGAACACAATCTATTGAGAAACAATATTCTTTTCTAGTACCTCTAGATGGTTGGTATATTGAAATAAAACATACATATGCCCACACACAAATCATATACAGGACACAGAAAAGATAAAAGAGATTCTAGCACTCTCCCTTTCCTTGTGTTACTTATTCTTAATATGCAACAGTTAATGACAGTGGCAGTGAAGGTCATCCAGAAATTTCAAGAATCAGGGAGAGCTGTACGCCTTCCTTTAGCTATCAGCATAGTTCAAGCCTGCCAGTCAGGTGATGTCAACTTCCTGTGGAGCTTCTTAGACCCACTGTAGGCTGTGTGTGGCCTGAGTAATACGAGAAGGGATTATCATTTCTTTTAATCTGGCTAGAAATGAGATAATAGCACACTGCTGATAGTTGCAAAGGCTAGGGAGATCACTGCATGTAAAAAATGACTTCCTTTTTGTCAGGACAGACTGCTGAATGAGCTGGATGAAGATGATAGTTAATTGAGGAAGATAACTTCAACTCAGATAATGACAAGGCAGACTAAAGCAATGCGAAACAGAATTCCCAACTTACTTGCAGCCTTAGCCATAAATAAACTGAATATTATTTTATTTAAATACTTGGAATTTGTCTTCTTTTTTTCAGCCAAAGAGTTTAATGACCCTTGGGAAGTCAATATTTCTGTGACCTTCTTTACATTGATTCTTGGCTGAGAGGATTATCACCTTAAAAGACTCTAAAGGATACTTAGATTTAAATTGTTTCTCCAGGGAGTTTAACTTGTATAAAATAAGGGATGTTCTTGGCTTTTACAAAATTCATGTTTATAAATTGATGATACAATTGCTCTCATATTGATGTCTGCTAGTTTCATTCTTCCCTTTTTGATAGATAAAGGTTGGAGTTTACACTTTCTGCTTTGATTTCCAACATTGTACTTAAAATATTTGTTAGAATATTTCAAAAGAATACTTTAAATCTTCTGGAATATTTATAGCCAAAGGCAACCAGTAAGAATTGCTATTTGAAAAATCAGTTCTTACATATTAAATCAGTCTTGAAGAGTTGGTTAATTAGCATATTTTTAAATTTATAAAACCTGAATTGTAAATTATATATGAAATTATTTTCTTCATTTATTATAGAATGCTGCTATTATGTAGATTTACAATAAATTTTTGACTATTAACCTTGTATCCTGCAACCCTGCTAAACTCACTTATTGGTTTTATGATAATGTTTTGATTTCTTAGAATTTTTTATAACAAAATCTTGTTCCTTTTTAATCTGGATTCCTTTTATTTATTTTCTCACTTCATTGACCTTTCTGGGATCCTTGGTATGATATTCAACAGAAGTGGTGAGAAGATACCTCCTTATCTTCTTTTCAGATCTTAGGGAAATCATTCAGTCTTTCAACATTAAGTGTAATGTTAATGTAGCTTTTTATTTTGATTCTTGATTGGCTTCACATTTAAGACTTTTATGTACATAATTCTCAAGAAATAGTTATTGATTGACCAAATGAAACAAAAATCACTCTGGTCTTGTAAATAAGAGTCCTTTAGGGATAAATGAATGTCAACGGAATCTGAGTACACTATATTATACAGACGTGTTCATGTCAGTGATCTAATCATGTGATACAAAGATATCAAGTGCATATGACAAAAACTTATTTTTAGTGAAAGTGATGGTTCTATTCCTACCACAAGCAAAAGAGTTTTCCTGCTTCACATGTTGGTATTTTGGATAGCTTAAATATGCTGCCATCAACTAGGGCTGTTTATGACAGGTTATGCTATCCATTAGAGTGCTATAAATATTAATTCTTTCCATTTTGTGCTGGTTTATTTATTTTTGTTGCCAATGTCAGCAACTCATTTCTGGAAAGATAGTTTATAACATTGATTTTTTTTTCCCTGCACTCTGTTGTTTGGAAAGAATAAATGTCAAACCACTCTATTTGCAGTAAAGTAATTAATTAGAATCTCATTATATAATGTCACTGTAGATACAGACATCCCATAATCATAGGATCTTTTATAGTGATTAATGACAGAATATATTTGCTTTAAGATTTGAATCTTTATAAAAATAATAAAACACATCTATTGAATTATTAAAAGTAATGGAAAAGACAAGTAAAAAATTTCCAGTATTTATATGATAATCCATTAAGTTGCAAAATTATAGTTTATTCAAGAAATGCAATACAGTAATGATTCACAATCTATTGCTGCATTTCATTACCTTAGCTCCATACTGAAATTCTATTCACTAAAGAGTAAAAATTTCTATCTTAACATGTGATGTTCCACTCACCACATGAAATGAGGGACAAAGCTGAATCTCTTTTGTATCCTTTAGTTTCTTTCCTGCTTCACTCAAAAGATACTCACCAAAGAAATGTGTCATGGGGTAGATTAAAAAGGAGAAAGCATTCCTGACTTTTCCAGGATAAACCACTTTGGGGATCAAGCCCTCAGGGCAGGTGGTACTTTCATAAAGCAAGAGAGTATGAACCTCCAGAGACAATTCCTGTGCACACCCCAACCCACACAGACACTGAAGGGCTAGCAAGAAGTATGTAGTGGGCCTTGTCAAGAGATCTATGAGTCCTTGTCTTAGCCCTCTAAGAACTTCATTAATGTGCATGTATCCTGTTCATTAGCCATCTCTGTGTAATATGTGAAAATTTGATGTAGTTTTTAAAAAATGTATTACTTCCAGTCAAAAGATTCAAGTATAATTATTATATTTTTCTTGAATTGGTGAACATAGGTTATTAGTTTAGATGATTCATGAAATACCCAAGTATTGGCAATCTTCATCCATAGAGAAGTATTTATAGTTTAGACAAGACAAACCAGTATTTAACTTGATAAGTAATAAATACTACAATTAATTTTTAAGTCTCTTTGGCAGATACCCAGCTAATTTGCATAAAAATATTGAATTCTACATTAAAAATGTGATGATCATTGTAGTAAAATAGTCTGTGAGTTAGAAACACAGTAGGTAATGTTGTTTGACCATTTATTGTAGCATTATTTTAAGGCATGGTTAAAACAGTTTTGAATGCGTGAGTGATTCATATAAAAAGTAGAAAAGAAAGAGTTCTTACCAAATTTGCAATGATATAATGGTAGCCTTTAACGTGCTTTCCAACACTCACAATCTGTGGAGATATAAGGAAATAAAATAAACTATTGTAGCATAATTTCATGTGGAAATATGATGGGGAAAATAATATAGTTTTCCTTATAAAAGTCAGATATTCTAATTAGAAGAACTTTATAAGCCACACTAAATATAAGTGGTTAATATAAAAACAAACATCATTTTATTTCATTCATTCACTTTTGCTTCATTTATAACTAACCAATTATTTTATTGTACTTTGTTTCAAAAGTAGTTTAATTTCCTTAGAGAAAATGAAAAAACTAAGAACCGACGATTTATTTCTAAAGAGAAATAAACTATTTCTAAAGAGAATATATTTCTAAATGTATCTATTTCTAAAGAGACTGCACTAACATAAATAATTATGACCTGAAGAATTTAGATGTAGTTTATTTATTGATAACAACTTTATTTTTCCTTTGGAGATTAAAAAACTCTTATTTTCTATAAAACTGAAAATTCCTTGAATAAGAGAAAATCTAATTGTAATTGCTAATGAGTAGCTTTGCAACCTCTGATAGCCTAAAAAATAAAACAAGATTTTCATACTTTTTCATTATCAAGGAAAAAATTCATTTTTTTAGCATTTGATATCCTCAGAAATTCTTTTTGCATTTGAATGACTTGAGTATGAAATAAAGAAAAACCCCTGTAATACCAGAACTCAATTATGTTTCATGGGCGAAATGAAACTTCTGCCCATCTTTTCATTTCAATAGCATCATAGATACTCGTTGACTTCAAATTTCTACATTTTCACTATGACTAGTTTGAATTTCTATCTTTTCATTATTCAGGGTTTGTTCTACTGCCTATGAGGATTGTCCTTCAATTCTGGAAAATTATCAGCCAAAATCCCTTAAATTATTACCACGAAGTGTTTTGAATTTGGTTCTAATAGATACTATGATATTAGAATCACCAACCTGTGGCTACTTTTTGATAACTTCTCAGATTATAGATCAGTGTGTGTGTGTGTGTGTGTGTGTGTGTGTGTGTTCAAAATATAATCTGCCTCAAGAAAAAGGCTCTGATAATTTTTGGCGAAATATTTTCCTCGCCTCACTCAGCCCAATTGGGGACTTGACATAATTGACTTCAGGTATACATGGTGGATATTTTTCTCCTCCAGCTTTATTAGATTGTTAACTTTCAATGATTACACTTTATAAGGAGTCTAAGATCTAATTTGTTGCCTTGACTGTCCCCAAAGCTCTTGTTCTTGGATGAGCACTGAATCCCCAATTGGTTACCTAATCCATTGAGTTCTCAATGGCAGCAGCCTTTAGCTCTTGGCCCCTGAAGATTTCCTGTACTTTCTGGAAATTCAGCTTTACATTTGTAACTTTATAGAGCTGTTTTACATTTTTAAAATTGCCAGATGTGCCATCAAGAAAAGGACAAGCAATAAAAAGATAAAATTATAAAGAGAGTTGAATAAAGAAGCATTTTAATGAGCTGTTGTATTGGATGATCCAAACCTGCGTGATTTAGTATGAGTGTAGCAGGTTAGAGCCATGTTATTGTTTGGGATTCTCAGATATAGCTTGTGTAAAAGGGGAAGAATAAACTTGGTAATTGGTACTTAGTTAGGAATCTGCATCCTCTAGTACTGAGTCTACTATAGATTCCTGCACTTTGGCCTCAGCAGGGATTGTTGCATTATTTTTTTCTTTCTGATTCACTACAACTTTCTCTTGTATGATTATTTAAGGCTTCTCTGCACTCTCTTTAAGCCTCCATGCCCACCGTGCTTCTTTTTATAACATTCTCAACTTATGGTCTTTGCATGACTACAGTCAAACACTTTTGCCAGTTTTATAAAATATCCACTTTAAGGTATAATACAGTTGAAAATGTTAAAATATGTGGAACCACTGGAAAATTGGTACTGAGTATTTCCATAAAAATCATTACTGTCCAGCAAAGAATTGTAATCAATTAAAGCCACAAATAACTGAAAGGGACAAAAATCCTGACAGAAAAGTTCTCTCAGAACTCCATATACTTCAAGACAGGAGAATGTAGAGGTGAAGAGGCTGCATCTTTTAAATAGAAACAGATGATGCATCTAGACATAGAATAACAATCCAGGGTCTGTTTAGAGTTCTGAAGATTAGATGAGGAAGGATACACGTTATATTGATCTCTGCTTTCAAAAGGCCCATCTTCACAAGAATTAAACATGTTATTGATTAATTGAATCCTGGTAATTACTTTTTTTGTTTATTTTCAGTAAATAAATAATTATTTAGAAACATCAATGGTGTTGGCTGAATAATTTAGTTTTAAACTCAGGGTTATGTATATTTATAAGTTAAATACCAGATATAAACGCTGTAATTGTTTTATTAACAAATTATGGCTTCATCAGTCTTTGTGAGTGTAACTTCTAAATCTTTTTTCTTTAATTAAAGTTAGAAAAAAATATATCCAAAGCACCATTTCTTCATGAACTCACCTGTCAATTCAGCTTAATTCAGTGAAGTGCCTTCTATGTTTCAGTTTTGGGGGTAGGAGATTCAAGGAGCAGGATGGTAAATCAGTCAGTGTTACTGTCACAAGAATTTTTATTATTCATAAGGGGATAAGACCCAAAGAGAAAAATCATAAATATAAGAAAAAGTGAGGAGAGTACTATGGCTTTCAAAAAGAAAGCTATATTATTTGCTTGGGAGAACAAGGCAGATTTTTTCCCCTTCTTTCCACATTTTTTGGTGTATTGTAGTTATATATATTGATGAGATTTGTGTTACATATATGCACATGTACACGATATTAAAATATAGTTTGGCCAATATCACTCCCCAGCACTTCACCCTTCTTCCCCAACTCCCATCCTGCCAACAAGATAGATTTTAAGACAATAGACACTAAATAAATATTGACTGAATGGTTAAATCTTAAGTTTAAGAGAATACAAATGCCACAAATATTAAAATAGTGAGGTTAACTTGAAACATGCAGATAAATAAAAGTTTGGCCTTCAATGCATAGACAGATCTTGTGGTAATTCTTTGTGGATCAATGGTTTATAAAGCACTCAGGAGTCCTTCTATAAGGGATGGCATATAATACCTGAAAGCATTATGAAACGGATTCTGTATCAAGCAATACCTTCTGCTAAAGACATGCAGTGGCACATTCAAGTGTGAATGGTTCTGTTTTTCCTTTGAGTGTGATCTTATAAGTCAGCTGGAACTTCTCTCAGATGTCATCATGTTCCAGAGAATTCACTGACATCAAGAAAAGAGTACAATGTGTATGGCTGTGTTCAGGTCACTACACTGGTAAATGCTGGAAGCTTATTCTGGTTAATCCTCCTTTATTTACTTATTTTTTTATTATTAGTTGTTCAAA